ACATCTGCGTGCGTGGAATCATAGAGACAAAATATAAGAACAATGTTTTGAATATTTTTAAAAATTGGTATCTTTACAACATCATTGCCACCGCCAAACCGAAGCCAATCAGGCTTCCCATAGCATCAACCCGAGCACCGGCCGCAGTAGGCAGCGACGGCGTGCTCGTCGTAGTCGTTCCATTACGGCCACGAGTCCCGGTGGGAGCAGGTGGTGTTGGGGTTGACGTGTCAATCAACAAAGTTGTCGGCACAGTCATGACGGTGGTCGGAGGCAGGATAGCCGAGCCATCATCGCTGGTAACCGGCGCCGCGGTGGGAGCCGAGGTAGGCGCCGAGTCCGGAGCGGAGATCGGGACGGATGCGGGCACTGAGCTCGGGGCCGCACTCGGCTTCGCAGAGGCTGCCGGCTTTGAAGGCTGGGCCGAAACGGGCGTTGTCACGTTCAGCTCGGTATTCCACGTCGCGAGAACACACTGCTTCATGAGGTCGTTGTCCGTGTAGCTGTTGCCGGACTTCTTCGGCGTCAAACTGAGGACGTAGTCGGTGCCGAAGCTGCCGGCGGCCCACCCGACGAGGCCAATGAACACGTCCGAGTTCTGGTTGATGAAGGTGTTCTGCGCGCAGAAAGCCGTGAAGCACTAATATCCGTCAGCCCTATGCTCTCGGTTGCGTCGATCATACGGGAACATCATCTGAAACTTACCGAAGAATCACTTGAGGCTCCTGTCTCGCTGACCAGCCCCTTGCGGCCCTTGGACCGTAGATACTCAGCAACAGTCCTGAAACTCTCCACATTATCCGTCGTGCACGGCTTGTGCGTGCCGCTGTTGTCCTCGTCCAGGTACTTGTGCACGTCGATGATGAGGTTGTCGGGCGTCCCGTCGGGGTTCGTGATGGCCGTCAACGCATCCGCGCTACCGCTGCTGACGAGGAACTCGGCCGAGTTGAAGTTGGTGCCCGGCAGCAGGATCATCTGCTTCGTCGCGCCGGCTCCGCGAATCGCCGTGACGACCTTCTGGCAAGTCGCGGCCCAGATCTTGACGTCGAGGTCGTGGGGCTCGTTCATGAGCTCGAAGACGACCTTCTCGTTGTCCTTGTACTTCGTCGCCAGTTGCGCCCATAGAGACACGAACTGGTCGTCCGTCGGTCCTCCCTGTCCGATGATACCGCCGTTCCATCGCGCAAAGTTGTGGATATCGAGCATGCAGTAGGCGCCGGTCGCGAGGCACTTTTGCATTACTTGATCGTATTTGCCCAGGTTGCCGGCGTTGAGGGTGCCTCCGAGTTGGTTGTTGACGAGGAACTGCCAGCCGACAGCTGAGGGGTGTTAGTAGGATGATCATCCATGGCAGACTCGAGGGCGCATACGCAGGCGGAACATGTTGAGCTTGTCATCGTTGGCAAAGTGGTTCATCTGGCCCTCGCCATCACCGCCGCCGAGAGAGCTGAGAGGCAGTTGGGTCTTGCCGGTAGGGCAGCTTCCCTGTCATGGATCGTCAGCATCTATCACCACCACCAGCCCTGACATCATGACTTACATCGATCTCACAACCGAAGTCACCACCGGATATCGCAACTCCCTACAAGCCAAAGTATTAGCTGTCGTCCCATGTCTCGCAGATCATATGACTTGCCAAGAACTGCACCCTGGCGACCGCCGCCGCCGCCAACCCCAAAAGCGTGAATGTCTTCGAGACCATATTCGAACCTGAGCGAATGAAATGAAGCGAATGTGAAAGTAGACGGTTACTGGGTAACCAAAAGAAAGGGATTCAATCCGAAGAATGAAAAGAAAAGAAACAGCGCGTGGCCTGGAAGAAGCGAAGGTACAGACGCAAAAGGGGCCTTGGTGTTGCAGCAAACTCCCAAAAGGAGAACCAGAAGTCGTTCGCAAACGGGAGGGGCGGCGAGCCGCATTACATATTTCTCTCCTTGCCCCTCGGTGGGATGACCATGGAACACCCACGCATAAGAATCGATCACAGGAAAAGTGCTCGTGCACCCAAGAATAGCAGCTTCCATACGACCATCATTTGCTGACGGGGACGGCAGAGGGTGGATATTGTTGGCTCCTGTCCCCCAATCGTGCGCACCCGGGCTGAGCGAACAGAGAGAGAAAAGCCAAGCCCTAGGCATGCCATCTGATTGATGGTCGTTTCTGTGCGACAGATTCATGCGGCGAGCGCCACGAAGCCCGGTCGGACGAGGGCCTGCATCAGACGGTGGGAGTTTCATGTACGGACACCACAGCCAGGGGATCCCGCGGGTCCCTCTCCAGGGCGAATACCACCTAAGTAAGTCGAAAGAAGACCAGACTAGTCCTCTTTCTCTCTCTTCTGCACTGACGGGTTGCCGAAGCAGTGGCACACTGCCCACATTGTGTGGAAATCAAGCGATTGGGGATGGGGCTCGCGGGGGATTCGACGCCATGGATGGATCTTTGGGGACGGTCTTGAGCCTTGGCCGGAGAGTGCGACTTCTAGCAGGTTAGATCGTGAGCTGCGGGAGAGCGAAAAGATGTGCCTAGAGGCGCTGGGGTCTCGGGCTGGCCGGGGTGCGGCAGGATGACCCGCCGGTGCGGCGAGTCGAGCGTTCCAAGTCAACGGTTTGCAATTGAATGCGGCTTGGATTCGATTGCTGCGAATGGAATTTGCAAACGGCGTCAGCCCCAATGCGCCACTTCAATGTCACTGTGATTTGAAGGATGATGGGCGATCAATCGACGATGTTCATGCTGAGCGCGCGATGGGCTCAGCTGAGTCAGGGACAGAAGAGCGAGAACATGAGCTAAGAGACGGTTGAATCAACAAACGGCAGGCGATCCTCGGCCCGATGGCGTTGGTCGTATTGCTCGGGATGTTTGCTTCGTGCTCATGAGCGACGTCACACGGCAGCATCGCAAAGTGAACTGGCGTTCATCGTAACCTCTTGTCATGGATACGTCTTCTTGTCAGCTCCATTCTGGCACGAGCTTGAAGTGCAACGGCGCGAGCACTGATGGCTAGATTGCGGGTGTTGGTCGACATCCAGGGGCAGCCCAGCAAGCCACGAGACCCTCTGAAACTAGGGCGCCGCCGCTAGAGAGGGTTCAAAGACACACATGGCGTTTAAAATGTCCGTGGCAGCCGACACATCGTTACGCTTGTTGAGTTCCTCTGCTTTGTCTCGCAACAGCTCGTATTGAAGACTGTAACGGCGCCGTTTGTGGCCTTCGAGGAAGTGACCTGTTGTGTTGTGCTGTGTGTTGCGAGAGGTAGAACTCTCCTCGTCCGAGGCGTACGGGAACCTTTGCCGACGCGTGTCCCAACGGCTCGAACCCCCTGGCATGCAATCAACGCCAGACCGAATGAGAAGATCTTGATCGTCTGATGAAAAGAAAAAAAAATCTTCCGAAACTAGGGGCACCGACGGGATGGATGCAGTTGATCCTGATGAATGGATTCGTCGAGAAGACGCCCAAAGCGGCAATGATGAAGGGGAATGGCGGGCACGTCACAGGTGAAGCAATCTTGCCTGGTCAGACATTTCCTCAAGCCACACGATGACCCCTCCATCTCTTGATTAGTAAGTCATTTCCGGTGTATTTCAAGATGCAGGCCCACTTGGCGTTTGAGGTTTATGTTTCTGTTGTTCATTCATGTCGAGATGTTTCCCATCTTCGAATCTAACAGGTGCCAAGAGACCATTTCCTTGCAAGTACTCTTCAGCAGAATTCTTTTGCTCTTCGTAAGGATCACCGATAGCGGACTGCGTCCTTCTCGTCGCAATGGTTGTCTCCAATGGTATCATAGTGGGGCGCGCGGGGAACGCAATGAACGCAAAGATAAATACCAGATGAAAGTAGCATGATGAGTTCATGAACAATCGACAACGTCAATTCGCGTATTCTCTTGACTGTTATCAACAGCTAAACTCAACAGTCTTCAAATAAAACATCTCAAAATGACCTCCTCAAAGCAGAACCCGCCCCTCCTTGATCATATCGTCATCCTCTTACCCCACCAAGTCCTCGCCAACCTCCCACCCTGGCTCTCAGACGAATTCACCATCCTGACCGGCGGCCGCCATGCCGATGGCCGCACTGAAAACAAGCTCGTAATCTTCGCCGACGGGACCTACCTGGAGCTCATCTCCTTCGTCGAGGGTATCGGCCCGGAAGAACGGCTCAAGCACAAGTGGGGCGCGAAGAAGGATGGAACCATCATCGACTGGGCCTACTCCCTTGTTGACGAGTCTGGCTTCTCTGCGATCCAAGAGCGAGTGAACGCCGCGCAATCCCTGGCATCGTACGACGACCCCGTCCCGGGCGGCCGGATCAGACCGGACGGCGAGGAGCTGAAGTGGGCCGTTGCGCTGCCCGGGCCGGAGGGAAAAGTGGAGCGGGGCGAGTTGCCGTTCTGGTGCTTCGACCGGACGCCGCGCAAGTTACGGGTGCCGGACCATGTTGAAAAGAATGTGACGCATCCCAGCCGCGCACTGGGAGTTCACTCGGTTGAGGTTGACGTCAGCAGTGAAGACTTCAAGAAGGCGTACGCTGGTATTGTCGGACAGCCCGGTCAGGGAGAGAATGGCGGGACGTGGGCATTTGACGTCCCGGTTCGCCAGTTCGAGGACCCCAGACATATTCAAGTAACCGCTTCTGAAGAAAAGCCGCCTGTGGGTTCTATTCGGCTGGCTTTGTACACCGCTAAGGGCACAGAGAAACGCGAAATTCGTGGAGATCTCGGCGCTGGCGTCTCAGTGAAGATCGATCTGATCCCAGTCTCTGGTAGTGCTTGATTATTCTACAGAGGTACTTGAAGGAGTCAAATCCACAACTCAAACGATTACCAATACACTGTTCATGATGTATACCGCATCAAACTACGTCCTTACCGCTGGCTCCGTCACCGCAATTCAACAGGGATCATTCTTTTCAGTCCCACCGACGACCACTCAATGCTGGCAGTGACAAAATGTGTGATAAGTAATCGAAATTTGGAATGAAATCATTGGCTATTACCGCCCAGACAGAGCTCCAAGCCCGCTCACCTCCACCTTGTCATATGTTCTTACAAGGCTCGTGGTTCCCGGCCCGGATTCAACCCAATTACCATGAACCTGGCCCTTGGTCTTGAACGGCAGTTGCACGATCGCCACGGGCTTCTCAAAGCTTCTGGTATCCAAAACCACCAGCTCACTTCCGTCCACGTCATGATGATGAACCATACCCAAGACCCAGCCGTCACCCTCCGGTGCTTCGTTCGATCGCGGGATGAAAATAGGCTCTTCCACGGTACAGTTCGGCCCGGGGTCAAACAGGATCTGCTTGCCTTCGTGCTTTCTTGACTTACTCACGAGTATGTACCCGTTCAACCCAACGGGTAGGATCGGCGGAGCAGAAGATGCCTTGTTTGACATGATGACAGGCAAAAAGATGTTGTTGTATGATTGCGTTTGGAATCGCTCGTCAATGCGTGCCATTTCGCCCGGTAGGTCAACGATCACCGTGGGGTCAACAGTCTTGGTGTTTGTAGGCTGGCTCAAATCGATGGACCACCGGACGTAATCAGCCTTCATATCGCCGAACGGGTTTCCCTCCGTAAGCGTGTCGAACATTGGAAAGGGGCTGTACATCATTCTCGAAGACTCCATGGAAATCTTTACGCTGTTCGCACCTTCATCCCACTTTTCCCAGGCTCCAGCAGTGTGCAGAAGCATGGCGTGTTCCCAGTGATACACGCGATACTCGCCGGGGCTCCAGCCTGCCGGCAGTCGACTTGACCCATGTCGCGGAACAAACCACAAAAGTTGCAGGACGATCTCTCTTGTACTGCCAATGGTGGCCTCCAGCCTTCATCTGAGTCTCGTCGGCATCGTACGGCCACAGGACTAGGATGATGAAGTTCTCCGTGATGGCACAGTCGTGTATGAAAGCCAGCCAAGGCGACTTCACCCACTGCTCGTCGCGGACTTTGCCCTCTTTGTCGAGGGTGTAGATTACAATGTCGTCCGTGCAAAGTCCTTTAGCTTCGTAACCGAACACCACCAGCTCGTTGGTATACGGATCAAACTTTGGGTGCGCAGAGAATGTCAAGCCTGGGGACTTGAACGGGTCGTAACCCAGGGTTTCGAGGGTGTTGGGGTCGATCTCGTACGGCAGCGCCGATTCCTTGAGGGCCAGAAGCTTGCCTGCCCAGAAGACAAGGTTCGTGTTGGCTGTTGAGTCGATGGCAGCCCGAACACATGGGTGGTGAGAGAAAGGATTACGGTAAAGACCGAAGAGTCGCTTTTTGGCATGCCTTTCCAGTCGGAGACGCTCAGTGTCGACGTATCGTATCTTTAAGTCGACACGACCGTCTTGAATCCGGAACGCGCAGACGTTACCGTCCCCCTCGATAGGTGGATTTTCTTCAGGAGGAGGGTAGAAAGGATCCACGAGGATACGATAGAAGGTGCCGCTGAGTTGGCTGGGGATCTCCCCAAAGACGGGGAGATCTTCGACCTCGCCCTCAAAACGTCCTTTGACGCCGTGATCTGATGGTCTCAAGTGGCGAGACCAAGCTGATTCGAGGCCAAAGACCTTGTTGGCACCGTTGGCACCGTTGGTTTTCAGGTGTTTTTGCTCCATGATAGAGAAAGTTGTCCAGGCTTGACTTGGGGTAAAGAGATAGTTACGATGATTTTGAAAATTCGATGAGGCTTGATGAACCGGTGGGATGCTTCCAAACAAGCTGGAGATCGTACTAACAACCTCATCACCAGCTGGAAAGCGCTTTTCTTTTATGCTTCATCTTACAGCAACCATCTACATTATCGCACCCGCTCAGTGAGACGCCGCGGATTTCTCATCAGCAGTCTCAAGGCCGTCAAAAACAATCCGGATCCGAAGTTCATATTTGTAACCAAGACTCAGTCCTCTCTGACCCGGCCTCGAGGTCAGCTAGCATAAGGCCGTGCGCAACTGCCGTGGTCAAATGCCGTTTCATTCCTGGTCGTGATCTCCAGGACACGGAAGCAATTGCACAAAGACTTGCCGTTCCGTCTCAACTTGAGAAGGTGTAGGTCGGCGACCTGCGGCTATGACTAGTGGGTAATGAGCTACCTAGAGAAGTAGCACAACCCGTCCTTGGCGTCACTTCAGACGAATATTAATAAGCGGCCAGTCGATTGGACTGTAGCTGGTAGGTATGCCTGACATCAGATGGTCTGACGATCCCGCTGAGCTAAGCGGCGAAACATGGCAGTCCGCCCATGCGGCGGGTGTGGGGGTTTGAGGCTCACCGACGGTATCAAACGGAAGACTTGCAATCCATGAGCTTGGCTGGTCATGACGACTTCAAGCAATGAAAATCAAAAGTTTTCGATTGGATTATGTGAACATAGTCGGTTTCGGTTTCGGTATGTGGGCGAGCAATAGTATCGACATCTTCGCGTAGATTGTTTGCGACCATAATTACCTAGAACGTCGCCCTGGACTTGAGTATGACACGAGTACCCAGCGCAGTCTACGTCTTTCATTTGCAACCATGTCTTCGTCTTCTCAAACTATAGAGCCTGCGCCTGCAAGACTTTCAGAATTTTTGGACATCGCTTCCATCATTATTGGGCCGGAAAATGTCTCGAGAGACTCTTCTTGGGGAGCACCAAAAGGCCTTTACGGCGCCGACAACTACGGCGACCCCTTTCCGCTAAGCAAGCCTCATCATGCAGCGGCAGCCGTGAGACCTGCCACCGTTGACCACATTCAGAAAATTGTCAAAGCAGCAAATGACACTCGAACGCCGCTCTGGACAGTCTCCCGAGGAAAGAATCTTGGGTTGGTCTTGATGTCTCATGTGGATTTACCTGCTAACCTTTGACTACCCAGGTACGGCGGTTCAGCGCCTGTCGTTTCGGAAAGAGTGATTCTCGACTTACATCGAATGACCAACATCATCGAAATCAACGAGGAGTATGCGTACGCCATCGTGGAGCCGGGTGTCACCTTCATGCAACTCCACGCTGAAATCAGACGGCGGAACCTGAACCTGTGGATGTCCGTACCAGCTTTGGGATGGGGCTCTATCATTGGGAATTCTCTGGAGAGAGGTTTTGGCTACACCCAGGAAGCTGTGCACTACAAACAGCAGTCCGGTTTGGAAGTTGTCCTGCCCAACGGCGATCTTCTCAGAACCGGGATGGGGGCCATGGAGAATAACAAGACTTGGCCACTCTACTCCGGGTATGTAATTGCATATACATTTTCTTCGATGGTTCCTCAGCTGACTGTGTTAGGGGCCTGGGGCCGGGTGTGGATGGTTTGTTCTTTCAGTCAAACTATGGTTAGCACTTCTCTCTTTTACTCTTCTAAACTCCTGCTAACTTCATACAAGGTATTGTTACCAAAATGGGCGTCCACCTTTCTCATGCCCCTGAAGCATATACCCGCATCGAAGTGGATTGCTTCGATAACGAAGATGTTGTCCCTCTTACGGGCGCACTCACAGAGTTGATGCGACGGCGCGTCATTACCAATCCGCCCCAGCTCTTCAACACCATGACCATCATCACCGGGATGATCGGCACCAGCAAGGATCTCACCGAAGCGCTGGGACAGTATTCGTCTCTGAAGCACCGGATTCCCACCGATATCGTCGCCGACATCACCAAACGCTTCAAACTCCCCACCTGGCGCACCGCATTTGCCATATATGCGCCACGTGAGGCTCATGCTGGTCTCATCGAGGCGATCAATCGCCGATTCGAGCTTGTCAAAGGCTCAAATATCACGACCGAGACATCCACTGCTCCACCAGGCGAGTACCTACGAGGCGAGGATGTAGCTCCGGACTTCCTCCCTCAGAACGGCGTTCCGAGTATTGAACACTTGAAGATGCTCGAGGGACACAAAGGCGGTGACGGCCTCTGGCACAACTCCTACTCTCCCGTCATCCCCCCCTCTGGGCGTGAGTTGTATGAATGGTACCTCGGCGCGAAGAAAATCACTGAAGACAACGATCTCAACTTCGTGGCCGATTTCCACGTCTTTGACCGCTACGTCATCGCCATCAATCTTGTCCTGTTTCACCCTTTGGCGAGACCCCGATTGCATCCCCTTCAAACGGCGCTCATGGAGCATACGCGGAAGCTTGGGTATCTCGAGTACCGAGCGCATATCAGCTTCATGGACGTGACTGCCGCCCACCAAAACTTCAACGGAGGTGCCTTCGGACGGTTCACGACATTGCTCAAGGATGCTATCGACCCGAACGGGGTGTTATCGCCCGGAAAGCAAGGAGTCTGGAACACGGGTGCAGGCCCGAAGCTGTAAAGCACTTCCGCAAGCCACAAGTGCCCTATTTCTGCGTTGTTCAACGATGGGTATCTATATTGATGGTAGACTCGCGATGAATTACTAGCTGGTCGGTCTTGACTTGCAATCGCGGCACGTTCTCCTCTATTGTTGCGGTACACGGGTTCGTTGTTGTATGAATGGTATAGTACCGGTCAGAATGAGGTAGACGAAGTAAATCATGAGTAGAACCCCGAGAACCCTGACGGTTTCTGACGCATCATGACTCTTTTTCCTTTCCACGGCGATATCCATTTTGGGAATACTTTAAGTTTCGAAGAATTGCATGAGCTGGGGCTGTCAAGGTGCGGACAGCGGTGGCTTGTATTTAAAGATGAACCGCTGTGGTGTTGCACTTTTCGGTGATTCAGTAACCAGACCTGCCTGGTAGGCATCGTTTCTGCCCTAATTCTTCGCCTTGCAATCACTGCCGTTCTGAAGAAATAAAATAATCTTTGAATTATCATTGGTCAAGAACAAACCCTCGAGGTGCATGCAAGCTTCTTTGCAACTATCTCCGCAACGAGCGTCAATATACAGCATTTTTGCTCAAACACGTTATACCCATCACCACCGCCACCACCAGTGTCATGACTGATAAAATATTCTCTACATATTACTACGAAAATCATCGGAACTACGCAGCAAAGATGACGAACAACAAGCAACGCAACACCCAAGCCAAGCCGAGATACCACGATCAAGGCACCATGACAGAGCAACCGTACCCCTATATTCGGCTCAATGTGTGCAGGACATTCATCTTAGTAGCTTGGACGATTTGGCTTCTCCACACAATGTACGATCAATTTCGTGGATCCCTCAGGGATTATCTCTTCATACCCGCTGGAGTATGCGGCATCTTGTTTTTCATTCTTGGGGTCCAATTACCTGGCGACATCGACACGGATAATCTCTTCATCCAGAGTCTGTGGGCTGGCACGTTTCACTTCGTGGTTTTGACAATCACCGAGTGGCTCTCTCATTGTTTCATCTACGATTTTCCTAAGTCATGGGCTCTTGGAACGAGGATTTGCTGGTCACTTGTCTGGATGTGGTCATGTTGCGTTGTCTGGGGCTGGATAGTTGCGATAGGACCCCAAGACGAGGAGGACATCAAGGTGCCGCTTTGGATGGAGGATTTTCTACCTCATGGAATTGCCAAACTCATCAAGAATAAGAAATAGATCATGTATGTTTCTTCAATGGAAGGCTTCGCGCGATCTACTTCACATACCGCCCGTAGGATGAACGCAACCTTTCCCTCCGTTCCTTGTTTGACGAGACGTGAACAGAGGGGTTTGAGTCTCATGTGTGCTACTGAACAAGCAGTAGCAATTTAGCTTGCGGTACTCTGGGGTGTACCACATACTGACCCCAAAGGGCCAATGTTTTCTTGTTCGAAATCGCACATAAGAAGAAGAACCTCTGCTGCCAATCTTGATTGTTCCATTCTTCGAGACTGAAGCTCTCAAAAACTTTCCGAAGCTAAGATGACCACCAACACCAAGTCACGGAGGATTCCTCGCGCTGAGATGAAACCGACATACAGACATAAAAGCACGATGATCGAACTTCCAGGGCTGCTGCCAGCACAAATCTCGGTCCTTCGATTCGCCGGCATCATTGCCTGGATTCTTCAGGCTTTGTGGTGGCTATACGGGACACACTGGGCCGGCACTTGTATCGAACCTGTTTCCAACCTTGCTTACTTCTCCTGCGCTGCCTTTGGGATCGCAGCCATATTCACACACGTTCCTTAGACAACACGGGCTAGGCTTTGTGTAATCTCATACTTGCCCACACATGTAGAGATCACAGGGTAAACCTTAGCCCTCGGCCATGCCGAGATCAAGATACCCTGTGAGCTTCTCTTAATTATTAATGTCTCCGTCTATATAAGATTATTCCCTCGCTCTTTCCAAATAAACTGCACTTCAGTCGATTCAACCAAGATCACATAATTACCCACGTCAACATGACCATTTCGAGCGAACTCCCCGCGATTCGGCAACCGAGACCAAAGCAGTCCGCGGAACATGAGGTCATGATTTCCAAGCAACGCCAACCGCTCATGTCGCGCGAAAAGGCCATGGTCTACCGATTCATTGGCATCACCGCCTGGATTCTTCAAACCTTTAACTGGCTGTACGGGTTCTTTATGAATATAGATGCCTGGAATCCACTAAGACCGCTGTTTCTCGGCGCCACATTCTCACTGGTAGTCGCTCTCCATTTCAAAGACACTCCTATAGCTACTCGGGTCAGATTGTGGTTACACGCTACCTTGTTATATTTCGCCTTCAATATTTCCGGCGGATGTCTTTGGACTATAGCTTCGATGTTTGCAAGAGCCGGGGGGTCCAGGGATTCTATCATGGTATGGCTCGTCGGTGTATACTGGTGGATAATCGTCACCGCTATTATCTGGGGCTTCCTCGTTTCGATAGGACCCCAGGACGAGTCCGACATCGGGCTGCCATATTGGTTCAAGGAGTTCCTCCCATATGCCCTGGCGAAGGATATCAAAGAAATAGACTCCAACAAAGAGCGCTCGGGCATCCAAAAGAAGAAGCAGTGATGATTTCTACTGGTTTAGCGGCATCTCAAAGGTGGGTGACGGATGGAAATTCTACGCCATCCGCCCGAAGTATGGTCACGATCACCATCATCGCGTGTTGGCACTCATTTCGTCAATAGTCGTTCTCTATCTCACGCACTTTATTTGGCACTCAGAGAATCTGCCGATTTCCAGACGAAGAGCCGCAGGTGGATTCAACAGTGGAACGGATGGGGGTGGAACGTCCCCAATCGTGGTGTGGACATCGTGGAGTAAAAATGGAATCGAACCATGACCTAGCGAGAGACCGATAATACGCTAATTTATCATGGCATCATTCATACATCATGATGTAAAACGTCTGCAATTTCCCACCGTACCAATGCTGTGATGATGCCCAACTATGACATTGATGCATGACTGCCATCACATCCATCCAATGCACCCATCAAGGTCCCGGATCGTATCTCCGACATGCCGTTTCGCTTCGCCATGCTAAGAGCTTGCAACCTTCTCAATAGGCATGTCGCACTTGCAGTGTCACACAAGTATTAATGGGCTGAGATTAAATCCAATTTTACTTTTTTTTCTATTATCCAACAAGTCATTACATCATATCCAGAGCCCTTTCATACCCTGTATCCATGTCCTGTTGCTCCTAAAATCCAATGCTTCGCTAAAAAACAACGAGCATCTATCGGCAGCAGTAACCGCCGTCGATGACGATATCAGCGCCGGTGGTGTAGGTGCTGGCATCGGAGACGAGGTAGACGTAGGCGCCCTTGAGCTCCTTGGCGTCACCGTTGCGGCCCATGGGGATCATGCTCTTCCACAGCTCCTGGGTCTCCTGGGCGACGAAGTCGGACAGGCCGGTGTCGATGTAGCCGGGGGAGATGGAGTTGACACGGGCAAAGTCGCGCCACTCGTTGGCGAGCGAGCGGGCCATGTGGATGCAGCCTGCCTTTGCGACGTTGTACGAGGTCTGCTCCTGGGGGTAGTTGGCGATGTGGCCGGACATGGAGGCGGTGATGACGAAGGATCCCGTGCCGCGCTCGCGGAAGTGAGCGCCGACGGCCTTGGCGCAGTACGCAGTGCCGTTCAGGTCGATCTGGATAACGTGGTCCCAGGCCTCCTTGGAGCCGTCGATGACACCAGTGTCGGCGGTAGCACCGGCGCTGTGAAAGCCAAACGTTACCAACTGTCATTGCCTCGGCAGGCTGTGGTTTGAGTGTAGACTTACTTGGCGATGAAGGCATCGATTTTGCCAAAGTCAGAGAGGATCTGCTTCACGGTCTTGTCGACATCCTCATAGTCGCTAACGTTCAGCTTGTAGATGTTGACCTTGACGCCGTACTCCTTCTCGAGCTCGGCCTTGTTCTTCTCGGCACCCTCCTTGCGGCTGGAGTAGGTGAGGGCCAGGTCAGCACCCATCTCGGCGCAACCGCGGGCAGCCTCAATGCCCATGCCGCGGGGTCCGGAGGCGCCGGTGACGACGATGACCTTACCCTTGAGGCTGAAGAGGTCCAGGAGACGGGAGGCGGTGGGAATTCCTTGAGGCATAGTGGCGGTTTGTTTGGTTGGTTCGGAAAGGAAGATCTTGTCAATGTGGAAGAGAAGGTTCAATGGGTATCAAAGTATGTTTGGATGAAAGAGAAAGAGAGGTAAAAAAAAAAGAAAATAGATCGGCGCGAAAGATGGCTTTAGATAGAAAGCTCAAGGGCCTTGGAGGGGCATTGCGGTGGCATGATGGAGGGGTAGCTTTTTGGGGTTTCGAACCGGCCGTGACGGCATGCCAGAACCCCGCTGATGTCATTGATCAAGCACACGGACTTGACACCGGCGGAGCTAATTGATACGGGTCCTCACTCAGCAATTTGGTGGTTGAAGCCGACGTGGACAAGGGCAGACATCCTTGAGTGGGTGGATCTTGAGATTTTTTTCTGGAGACCCGGATGGGCCGCATGTAGAGGGCATGTACCTGAGTAATGCCCATCTGCAGTGCAACAACACCTGCGGCTTCGACAGCTCATCGATGATCGATCTGGGAGCTCTCTTACTGCTTGGTACTGCGGCTAAGAGCTGCGGGAGCGACTTGGCGGACACCAGCCTGATTAGGGATGATTATCTGAGCGCTCGCAAATTGGGCAATTGCAAGTCTTTGCTCGGCAGACTGGATGCCAACAGCGTCGGCTTATCTCAGTCTGTACATGATGAAGCTCTTTGTGGTACAACTCACGCTAAAACTGTCAACTCCAAGGTTGCGGCCAAGACTAGCTGAAGCTCCACCAAGTCCACTGCCAGCCCCCCAGTCCTTGTGCTGCAACAGGAACATTAGTCAAGGCCTCGCATCATCGTTGCTTCACTGGCTGGACTCGGTCGGAGAACGAGGCCTGCTTCTGCGGGGCTATTCCTGCGTGTTTGCTGTGAATGCCGCATTCTTTGTGCTGTTGAGATAACAAGCGCGAAGAGGGGCCATCGATGTCGTGGACGTGTCAAATGAAAGTACCACACTTGTACACAAAGCTCTGAGAGCTCCTGTTGGCTTGTCAACGCGGAGCTGTCGCGGAGCCATGTCGGTGAGGGGTTTAGCGTGGGGTGGAATGGGCCTTCGAACTGAACCACCATTTGGTCGAGACTCTCCCTCGCCTCAGCTAGGCGGTGGTCTGCGCACCACTGTGGATTTCCGAAGCTGTATTACCTGTACAGGTGATGCAGACGAAGACGGGGCCTCACCTCGCGTGCAATGTTGACGAAGATGGGGCTCTGGGTCTGTACAGTTGGTGCAGTAGTCGCGGATCTGTACAGATGATGCAGTAGCCCTTGGATCTGTACAGGTGATGCAGATTGAGGCGACGCGGAGCTGTTTGAAGATGGTTCGTGCGATCCGCGGTCGGACTGCGGGATGGGATCCGGGGACGGGCCTCGGCTCGCGCGGGTGGACAAGCGTCATTTTGCCCGTGTTGCACCCGGCCGTCAACATGGTCTCGTATCACGACCGGAATTACCATCGGTGCAAGATACTGTCACAGAAGTTGCTGAGAGTTTGCGAATTCCAAATGTCAGAGGACACGAAACAGCGGAATATTGCGATTAAGTAGTCATCCATGATGGTCATTGATGCATGGCTGTTCTTGAAGCAGGTCATCTTCCGGGCTGTTGATTCCAATGTCACATCACGCCTTCGAGTTTACCAGATCAAGCTTTCCGCCATTGGCTTTGTTCATGATGTTCACGGCGTGCCATCCAGGTAGGAGGCGACTGCAATATTCAGTCTAGGAGCGCCTTGCATGGCGCGAGGAAAGCTTGTTCTGAAAGCAGTAGATGGAAAGCTCTCGTGGCTAATTTCACGTGGTTTTGAAATGAAAATATAATCAATCGTACAGCCGTGGTTCATAGCTATATTTTCAATTTTCTGTAGATTTTCGCAACGCGTCCGAATCCTCAGTTACGCAGTTCACATCCTGAAACCAACGGAACAGTGCGGGCTTTCTCATCACCAAACGACTGAACAACGGCAAGATGTCCCAGATACCCGGACTTGGTTTCCGCGAAAGCCATCATTCCTGCATGTCCAAGCGCGATAACCGTAGCAGTCGTATTGCACGTTCCATATCGCTACGTACACGGGACGAAATTCCTAAGAAGAGCCTGATCGCCCTCCTGCCAAAGACGGGATATCTCCTCATCGCAGTCTCTATAGCCGCCGCCGCCGTGAGCAGTCTCATCACGAGCGGGATCCTCGACGCATCTCAGACGACGCGTTCCCTTGTCCTCTCTATCATCTGTTACTTGGCATCCAGCATTTTCATCATCTCCGTGGCTTTCTGTAACGGAATCCGACAGGCTCCTCAAAGTCCGGGGCTGATAACCTTTGTGTTCTTCTTCGTCTGGGTTGTTATTCAAGTCCTTTGCTTCTTCAACATGAAGATCCTATGGAGTCAGGATTGGCCTACTGATACCAAGAACCTGGCGGTGGCCTGGATGCTGCTGAGTCTGGCCTCCATAGCAATCTACATCTTTGCCCTCATCCGGATCATGGCTGTTTCGCGGAAGGAGCTTCATTCGAAAAAGCTCGAGTTGGAAGCAGCTAAGCCAGCGTCGCCGTGGGCGAAGGGGCCCTGCGATCATGTCGAGCACGGCGAGCCGCTACCGCCAGTTTACACTCCGCGAAGGGAAAATTCGGAGAAGCTTGATTTGGAGGCAGCTGCAGAGCCAGCGTCACCGTGGGAGAAGGCGTCCTGGGAGCATGTTGAATACGGCGAGCGGGAGCCGCAACCACCGGTTTTCATTCCGCGAAAGGAATTTTACCAATTGCGGGGTGTACCCTGTATTTGCACCACTCGTGGGTTGTGAATAACTAGAATGACTGCGAAGAGTTGGGGAAGTAAAAGAGAAATGGTTGCCTGTGGCAAACATGAGATGCTCAGTACCACAGGTTTGGGGTTGTAATTAGTTTCTCAAAAGGTAGGGGTGTCGGGGAAAGCTTGGATGGACTGTGTCTGCAATTCAAATATGTTTGCGGATCAGGCATGTAACTGCACTGGGTGGTCATAAGAAGAAGACATTTTGCTTCACATCCGGTTGTTAACTACTGGCATACGGGAATGTTCGTTGATGGGTAAAGGAGACGAATGCTAGAGGGAAAAAGGGATGAAGCTACGCTACGATATGTTTCTAGAAACTTCAAGCTACCCCATAAGACAGCTGAGGTGGCATATCAGCCTAGGGGTTGTTATAAAACCGAAGCGCATACAACACAGCAATGCACTCGTCTACTCGAGTAGGCTTTTGTTCTTATGAACTGCTGTCTTGAGGCAAGGTTTGGTACTCGGGTATACCCGTTCATTCCCCAGCTACGTTGCCATGCTTCTACGGACCTTGACCTCCTCGGCCCCAGCCTTTTCGGCCAGATCAGCGTCCAATTCGCGAACGATGTTGACATCCCCAAAGATCTCGTCAATTTCCTCGAGGGACTTTCCTCTGGTTTCGGGGTAAAAGAGGGCGAATACGACAGCGCAGATTGCATTTGTCAGTATGAACAAAATCTGTTGATATGAATGAGCACCAGACGTGTTCCGTATAGAAGAGGCGACTTACATAGTACTTCCAGCCAACCTCGGCAAGCGCAATTGGTGAACATTGCGTGATGACGAGGCTGATGGAGTAGTGGATGACCTGGACTATGGCATTCGCTTTTGCACGCAGCTCGGTCGTGAAGACTTCGGGGCTTTCAGCATGTGAATTAGTCTCAGTGGACAGAAAAATCACAAGTTTAAGCTTACGGAATGATCCAAGTCATGGGTCCCAAAAGCGCTGAATAGTTTGCAGAAACAGCAAAGATGCAGGCAATGAGTCCACGCTGAGCAGCTTCATTCGTAGGGAATTCAGGTCGTGCTGGGTACACTGCTGCCAAGATGGTGATAATCATGTAGCAAACAGACAATAGCGATGAACTGAAGATGAGAATTTTCTTTCGTCCAATGCGGTCGACAAAGAAGAGAGAGAGAAAACAGGCCACCGGAGCAACTGATCCGTACAAACCGCTGACAAGGAGCTGCTGGTCCTGGCTGAACTGCAGGGTGGCATAGATAGCTGTCTGATAGTACTGAACGAACGAAATGCCCGACAACATGGCAGCTGCCCAGACGAACGACCCGACAAATAGCCGCTTGCGAAACGCAGGAGTTTTGAATAGGTCGGCCCACGATAGGCGCCCCTGAGTCTGTAATTCTTCGGCGATGTTGACTTGAATGACGGTGAACTCGGTGCGGCACCAGTTGTCGTTGGAGCCGTTGTAGTGGTAGTTGCGGAATGCCTTTTCGGCTTCTTCGTTATGGCCTTTCAAGCACAGCCACCGCGGCGACTCGCTGAGGAAGAGAACACCAACGCCTAGAATCAACGCTGGTATGCTTTGGATAGCGAAGCCGAGCCGCCACTGGTTGGAGTTGTGCCATTTGCCCTCGCCAACTCCGGTCCAGAGGGCGACGAAAAAGCCCCATGCAACCACTATGGAGAGTTAGAAATTGCAGTTGTGAATTGCGGGCTTACTGACTCATCTGGTTGACGGCTGTGACTCTGGCTCTTTCTTCAGTCTGGAGTAGTTGGATCAGCGACTTTGGTCTTGACACAACTTGCACGAGTGGAGATACCTTTGCAATCTCAGCTCCGAAGACAGGAGCCACACCAGTGATTGTACCAACAGCATAGCCGACTAGAAGTCGTCCCATGATAACTGACAATGAGTTCAGCTGAGAGAGCTCAACACTCATAAGTCAGACACAAACTCACGCATAGCAACATGCACGGCGCCAGCCATCAAGGCTCCGCCGATGACGCCCCAAATACATCCGAAAGCAATGGCACGCCGGCGGCCGAGCCGATCACTAGTGATTCCAACCGACGCGCTGCCCAGCCAGGCTAATCACTCGGTTAGGCCTCATCATCATCATCATTCATGAGACTAGTAATAGATCTGAGATGGCCTTACCTCCCGCTTGGTATACCGACACAATAGCTCCTCTCAAGGGGGCATCGGGATTTCCGAAGTAGGTCAAGAAGGACTTGAGCGCTAAGCTTGGTGTGATGATACCGGAATCACTGATCGTTTCTGGTTAGTAATTGGCAAGATGGCCATGCTCACAACTCACTAGCCGTAGAGAAACCCTCCAATACCCAGCAGTATCGAAGTTAAGAAGGGCTTGCTAAGCCAAGGCGAAGAATCTGGGGTCATGGTAGAACAACTCTAATTCAATGAAACGAATCACTCAAAGCAAAGTTTCAAAGACTGAAGACTAAATCCGCACATATAACTCGACCTCTTAACCCTTCACCATGATACATGGCACCACTGCTATTTAAAGCAGGGGTATACTTACCCGTCTCCAACCAGATCCTTTGTAAGTTTTGCGTCAGCAGGCCGACTATGTGGGGGACAACCCCAAACTCAACGCACAGGTCCGCTTCCCCGCGCCATCCACCGTCCTCGCAGCGAGCAAACTGCGGGGTTTCGACCCTGTCGCATCGCGATATCAAGCTAGCCTATTCACATTGCAACTTGGAAAGGATTCTGGAGCCCCATCAAGTGATCTTTGGAAGCGCGATATCAGTGGGGGTGGCTTACTGCAACGTCTCGCCAAGGTCGGCAGTTCGTGCTGGCAGATTAGGCGACGAGCCGAAGACGCAACAAAGGCTCAGGAACCTCGGGCCCTCGGTATTTCAGTGCAACGCTGTTGGCATCGCCCAAGAAGGAACATCTTGACGATTTGATCTCGAGACGTTTGCTGACAAGACTTTGGGAATCTTCTCACTCGCTCGTCGATATTGAAGCGTCTACCCTGGATGACCGACCAACGAGCAAAATGATCGCACACGTCCTGGCATGGGCGGCGGCTCTGGCTTCCCTTGCATACATCGCTCTCATATTTCCTAGGGTAAGTCTTGATATCCAATCATAGACCCCTGATTACCACTTAATAACCGACCTCACAGCTTCAACAAGAATGGAAGCTATACTCGCACCGCTCTCAACTCCCGCCCGGACCAAAAGTCATCAAGACCGGCATCCGCAAGCCATGGCTCTGGTTCCAAGAACTAAGCAAGCAATATGGCGATGTTGTCTACCTCCAACTCGGCCCAACACCAACTATCATCTTGGGTTCCGCTCAGGCAGCATGGGACCTCCTCGAGAAGAAGGGCGCGATCTTTTCCTCCCGCCCGCGCTTCATCATGGGAGGCGAGCTCCTTTCCGGGGGTATGAGGGGCCTGATGGCACCGTACTCGTCCTACTGGAGGCGCTGGAGAAAGCTGCTTCACAGTGGCTTCATGCAGCGGCAGAGCGAGACGTATCGGCCGATTCAGAGTCTCGAATCAAAGTTGCTCATGCATGAGTTACTTGTGGACCCAATCAACTTCAGAAGACACCTGGAGAGATATGCCGCTTCGGTGATTGTGACCGTTACGTATGGCAGGAGGGTTGGGAATGTGACGACGGATATTGTGGTGCAGCGCAACGCTGAGTCCATGGGTCGTTTGACTTCTGTCAAGTATGTGATTCTCATTACAAAGGGCTGGTCCCCATCTTATTGATGTCTACAGCATCCCCGGCAAATTCGCAGTTGAGCGATACCCAGCACTCAAGTATCTACCCACGTTCCTCGCACCATGGAAAGCCGAGGTCTTGAAACAAAAACAAAAGGACATCCAGCTCTACACCGAGCTCATGGACGAGGTTCGGGAAAAGGTGGCCAGAAGTGTTGCGCCAGAATGCTTCGCCAGGCACCTCCTGGAAGAGCAAGCAAGCCTTGGCATGTCGGATCTGGAGATTGCGTACACGGCCGGCTCACCATTCGGGGCCGGCGTCGAAACTGTGAGTTATCTACATTATCCCATCTATCGACTTGACTCTTACAAAAGTAGTCCGCTGGCTCTCTGGCCAGCTTCCTCCTCGCATGCGCAAAGTTCGGGCCCCGCTTCATCCCCCAAGCCCAGGAAGAACTTGACAGGGTTGTCGGCAAGGACCGTCTTCCCGCGTTTGAGGATCTAGAGAACCTTCAGTACATCCGGGCCATAGCATCGGAGACGCTGAGATGGAGACCGGTCGCGGTCCTCGGCGGTACACCTCACGCCAGCACGGCCGACCACGTGTACAAGGGCATGTTCATCCCGAAGGGCAGCACCATCATTGCCCCTCTTTGGAGCCGTATGTACAGTTCAGAAACGCTCACCTCTATCTTGGCTAATACATCTCAGTCCATCTCAACGAGTCAGATTTCCCGCAGCCTCACGAGTTCATCCCGGAGAGATTTCTGGAGCACCGCAAGTATCCGGGGTCATTCGGCCACAGCGCTTTTGGCTGGGGCCGCCGGATCTGTCCAGGCATACATCTTGGCTCTGCTTCGGTGGCGATCAACATTGCGCGTATCCTCTGGGGTTTTGATGTGAGGCCAGGAAAGGATGAAACAGGGCGCGACGTTGACGTTGATATGTGAGTGAGACCTATCGGCTTGCTTTTCATGACTAATAACGTTGTAGCTTCGCCTTCTCTGATGGGTTCAACTCAAGCCCCCTGCCATTCCCCTGCTCCGTCACACCTCGTTCACCACACCAAGCTGAAGTCATCGAAAGGGAACATGAGGATGCATTGAAAGTATTGGTAACGTATACGTCTGTCGCCAGTAAGATATCATGAGTGGTAGCCCACCTAAGAAGCTAGAACATGTCTTAATCCATGGGTCGAAGTCGAGATTTCTGAGGCCTTACTAAAACTCAATAACTGGAGTATAGAAGTTATGTTTGTGCAACTTTGTCGTCAGCAATCTGGGGCACTAAGCAAATTCCCAAGTCGTCTGCTATCTCGACTGGTCCCTTCCAACCACCAAATAGCTCTCATTTCACTCATCAAGTCCAATCTTCGCCCAGTCGAATTCCAAAATCGCTACTCTGCCGGAGGAAAGACCGAGAGCGTGTGAATTCCCATGCTGTGCTGAGCACGTAGGTCTATAATCCCGCGGAAGCCATAGGGCTTTTTCCCCGTCTTGAAGGATCCAATCACTTTTGATGATCGTTCGTGCAGCTGGTTGTTCTGGCCGTGCCTCCTTACTTGCCTTGCACGTATTCGTATCGAACCATTGGCCACACGCTTTAATGTGGTTGCCGTCTTCAGAAAATTCCAGGGACGTTGCGAGACGGTCAAGAGTAAACGACCGTTCCATTGGCTTTGTTCCAGGTTGTGCATTCCAGAGACGCACGACCTTGTCTCTAGCTGCCGCAGCAACGATCTTGCCATCTTGAGAAAACACCACTGTATTTACCCAGTCATTATGACCTTTGAGCTCCCGTACGCATTGTCCCGTAGGAACGTCCCAAATTCTTACTGTAGTGTCATTGGATGCGGAGGCAAGTCTCGAACTATCGGCGGAGAAGACGACTGAGTTGACCGGCCTGGTGTGGCCTGCAAGCCGTCGCGGTTTTCCATCTTTGATAATGTCCCAGATCAACACGGTTCTATCGTTCGACGCCGAAGCAAGCATGGAATGATCTGGGGAGAAGGCCACGCCCTGAACGTTCCAAAGGTGGCCCGCGAGCGTGCGGAAAAGATCTCCCGTGATCGAATTCCACAGCTTCACCGTCTTTTCATTCGAAATCGATGCGACAAATTTACCATCTGGTGAGAAGGTAACAGATTTGACTGCGGCATTGTGACCCTGGCTGTCGCTCGATACCTGACTGTGGTTGGATATGATACTGACATCCCAGATCCGCACAGTTTTGTCATGAGAGCCCGTCGCAAATAGCTTGCCGTCAACTGAAAACGCTACGCTATTTACCCAATTGCTGTGGGCCTGAAGAGTAGCCATGAGGTCGCCGGTGTTGGGGTTCCAGATCCGCACTGACTCGTCACTCGAAGTAGATACGAGCATTTGCCTATCTGGAGAGAAGGCAACGGAAAACACGGCACCAGTGTGGCCTACCAGCGTGCTATCAACTGTACCATTTGAGGCATTCCAGACGCACACACGTTCATCATGAGAAGCTGATGCGAGAAGTTCTCCGTCTCGGGAGAAAGCTACCGCGAAAACAGTATGCTCATGACCTCCACAAAGTGTCTGAGATACCTTTCCTGTGGAAGTGTCACAAATCTGAATTGTGCCATCGTGAAGAGCTAAAGCAACTGTTTCTCCTTCGGGAGAGAAGTCGACCCCATTGACGCGGCAGCTGAAATCACTCCTTGTCCAGATTGATTGGCCAGAGCTGAGCTCAAGCAGATGAACGGCTGGTTCTCTTGAAACAAACAAGACTTCGGAACCGTTCGGAGATACGGCTACCACTTTCACTATTGCATTCGAAGTTGCTAGTGTTGATGTGGTTCCATTGTGAATATCCGTGATCTGTACGGTCTTGTCGCTGGATGCGGACACAAATGCACGGCGTCCAGGAATCCAGGCAAGTGAAAGCACGGACCTCAGATGCCCATGATACTTTCTCTGAATAATAGCTGCAAAGTTCCAGTGGATGATCATGTGGTCATTTGAGGCTGATAAGAGCGTGTTGTCTTCGGTCGAGAAGACGACAAATCGGACAACATCTTCATGGCCCTCCAGGACCAAGCAACCATGGAGACGAGGTTGAGCTGCGGAAACGCGTTTGATGAAAGAGAAGCGGCGACTCTGGAAAAGCTTTTGAACTTGATTGCTCGAGGGGCTGAAAATAAGTGGCGCTCCGTAAATCTGTTCGGGGTATTGGTAGACAACCGGGAAGAACTCCTTTAACCACACATCGGCATCTTGAAGCAATAAGACAAGCTCTGCGTCAGAACCGTAGAGTATCTTGTGTCGAAATTTTAGCAAACTGACATGAGAGAAAAAAGGAGTGGTTACAATGAACAATGAAAGATAACACGTACCCTAGCTTTAGAAAGTAGGCGGGGGATAGCTCGTAAGCCATCAGGCAGGCTTTCAAAGCGGCTCAGACACTGAAGCCAACGTAGAAGACTTGTTGAGAAGAACAGCTTTATTTCTTCGCCAGTCGAAATGAGCTTTTTGTAATCATACCCGGCGTCGATGGCAGCACAAAGGTGGTCAATCCAGTACACGCAGGAGTAGCGGATAGAAGTAAGCGAATCCGAAACTTCAATTGATCTCTTAATTGGGGACTCCGCTCGCGCAGGATGCACATACTGCTTCAATTTCTCAGCAGTCAGCCGCAGCGATGTCGAAAAGATAGTGAAATGCGTAGGTCCCAGTTCACCTGACAGAAGGTTGTCGGAAAGAAATTCTTGTGCAGACTGGTGCACTAGAGATACTGTGTCTTCGTTGATGATAGTAATGAATGGGCCGCAGGCGGTGATGGCTTGTCTTGTGACGGCTTCGCCGGTGAACATCCCACCAAATTCTGCCAAGATAGTCAGCTCCATGATTTGTAGAGGACGCTGTGAGACGGTGATAATTGAGAGAACAAATAAGCAACGTTGTCTCGCTTCGGGCATGAGCTTTTGAATCTGGTCCATCATTCTGCTGTAAATCTGAATCAGAGACGTGGGCAATTCGTTGATCGAATTCAAAAGGCTTTCCTCGTCCCGAAAAGACTTCAGCTCTTCTAAAACAAGAGATGCCCACTGGAAGGTGGATTGCGCCCGGTCTTGAATAGCCTGTAGGAGCGTTCTCGATAGCTTTTTGCTCCTATTCTCAGCTACTATTTCCCTCAATCGTAGTTTCATGAGAGAATCTATCGACTTGGAAATTTCCTTTGCATGCTGCCCTAATAGCAATTCCACTTGTCTGCAGTCCTGGGAGAATCGACTTTTGGCGATAATTTGTCGGCTTGTGACGAACCATTTAGTGCGAGAATCCTTTTCGGTGACAGTGCGATTTATAAGATCTAATAGTGGCACATCGTCGAGGCATTCGTCAAGTGCGTCGACCATCAAGTATGTTTCTCCTGCACAAGGATCCCGCAGCATGTCAGTCAGCAAATCTGCCAATATTTTGTACGAGTCGGCGAATGCTGGCCCATCACGCTCGTATCTCTCCAAAATGTACGGGACGAGGTCGGCCTTCTGAACGGCTAGCTGATAAATAAGATTGCGTTGAACAGCCGTGACGTTGTTGAGATCTGCATCGCGAGAATTAAGAAAGAAGAAAGCCACTGATCTCCCTTCGGATAGGAAAGCCAGTGAATCTATGAATCGGACAACACGGGCCATGAGCATCGTTTTTCCAATACCAGCAAGGCCTTGCATCCAAAAAACGCCCCGCTCCATTTGTAGCCATTGCTCGAAATCCGGAAGCTTCAGCAGCCAATCTGCAGACTCAGGGACCATTTGATCCACGTGGCTGGATACTATTGCTTGGAGGTCACGTGGCCTTAGCGCCCGAAGAGCTCGAGCTCTTTTCTCACTCGTCTTCATCAGTTGTGCTTGCTTCACGACCTGTTCAGTCGTTGTGTTCTGCCAACCGGGTTGGAATTGTGACGGAAGAACTTCTCTGCAACGAGGCGGCAGCTTTTCCTCTTTCGCCTTAATCTCGTTCGCATGAGCCCTGAGCTGCACAAAATCGTAATCGTTGGCGATGTCAGGACCTTCCAGAATTGCAGTGGCTATCTGGTAGCGTAGCAGAGACTCGTAGAGACGGGCAACAATTGCTTCCCCACTGGCTTCTGGGTTGGTTTGTAATTCACTTGGGTAGACAGTGCTCGCTTCCACCAGAAGAGAAGGTAGACTGCAGTACCAGTTCATCTTGAAAGCGATCTCGATAATAGCAGAAGCGTTGTCATGATAAGGACTTCCATATCTCTTTAGCGACTAAAGAAAGTCAGCAAGAGGCAATACAGGCCCGGTATCCAGTCTTACCAATAAGGCGAGACAATTGGCAGACCATGGGAGTGCTGATTGTGGATATTTGTCGAGTACTGATGGCATGGTTGTTGCCATGACCATTGATTCGGCCACTTCTAGATCTGTACTTCGAGTCGCGGCCTCATCCTGCGGCACGCGCAGAATGGACTCCCGAGTATGTTGAATGACTTGAAGCCGTTGTTGGTGTGGCGATATATTCATGCCTGGAACGGTTCCGTCCTTTTTAAGCACGTTTGATAAGATTCTTTCGTATGCGGCCATGATCTCAGGGCTTGAAGTCTTTATCCTGTCGTAAGCTTGTTGCCAAAGCTTGTCCCCCGGATCCGCCTCTGACAATGGTGTAGCAAGTCGACTTGTTGGCATCATAATCCTCACATCGTGATCGCCATCCGCTGACAAAATCCCGAAGGGAGCATTAGCATCGATGGCGCCATCGGACTCTTCCTCGCGTTTAGCATTTGTTCGTACCGCCGTCGTCTTACGGCGAACGAGGTCCCAGACGGCCGAAATGTTTGACATTGGTTCTGACGATAGTTGGTGGCGGTCAATTCCCTTGTTACAGTCTTGACTGTTGGATAGTTGCCTGCTTTTCGTCAGCTTTTGAGATCCAAGGGCATGAGGGGGTCAGCTGAGGCTGCGGCCAATAAGCAGACCCGAGCCAAAGCAGTCGCTCTGAGCTGGTTGGATAGAGATGACATAATTATGCACATCCACAGATATATTTACGCATGCATGCTTACATGTATCCAAGCCAACTCGGCGGGGCTCAGAGCCTTTGTCATACCTGTAACCTCGGCTTAAAAAAACACGCCAGGCAAATCGGTTAATACGTAGCAGTAAATATGACCGACTCGTAGCCACAAATTAGGCCCTTAGGAAGTTACCGAAGCACGTGTGATAATACACGCAATCGTGGGCTTCAAGGTGATGAGATTAGCATCCAGCCATCAATCCTTTACAACTAAACCGTTGCTTTCAATCTTTTTCCGTCGTAATGTGCTACATCAACATCAACATCACCATGCCAATCTAGGAAATATCCACAGCGGCAAGTCTATTGTATCTAATCCTGGAGCTTCTAGTGGTACAGGAAAGCGTTTGCTAATTTGAAGCCAAGTGAACCCGCCAGGCATGGAAATTCAATATGCCAAATTCTCAAACACCACTCGAGGAATATTTTCCAGCCTTCTCAATCTATCTGCGTCCATAGATATGTCGAGGTGCTATCGTCAACCCATTAGTCAAGAAGAAGGACCACTGTCTACTCATGAGTTGGCTCAATACTTACATCCAACATGTTCTCCAAGAAAGCAGCGGATTTCCTTGCCGCTTCGGGCTCGCAGAGGAAACAAAGAATTGCAATCCAATCGTGACTGAGCCGCTCAGCATATCCAGCTGCCTCCGTCATCAATGCCGTCGTTCGCTCTGCTGTCTGACTTGAGTGCTTCGAAGCGGCCGCATCGTAGTGCGCTGTCCAGAACAGACAGGCGTAGCGGACCTCAGATGGTACTGACTTGTCTTCATAGCTTTCTTCCAGATAGATACGCATCAATGTTTGATCCACGTTGTAATCCTGTGGAGTCCATGTTTCCAGCACCTTGGCGCAGCTGCGAAACATCCACTCCTGGATATCAGTCGCTCTGATGTGAAATTCAAGCACGCCGGCTTTTCTGCAGCGCTCTTCGTCGCCAAGCAAATCTCCTAATGACAGGTGGAATGAGGTTATAGCTTCATCGTCCCTCTCCGGCAACCTGAAGAGAGATCGTAGCTCATAAACGAACTGACGCACGACCCTGACCTCCCAATTGTTCTCCGGTTTGTCCATTTCAGTGTTATTCCGTCCCTCAAACTCATGATCTGTCTTGAGCATGTTGGCAACGTCATTGCAAGATAAAGGCTCCAAAGAGAACAATATCGATCCGAGTATGATCCGGAAATTGCGAAAGAAAACAGCATGATCACTCTCCGAGGGCGTGATTTTGGGTGCCACCTCTGACAAAACTGTTGCGTATAGGTCGTCGAGACCTTCGGCGATGCCGCTCTTCAATATTGATCGAATCTTGGCGTCCGGGGCGTTGTTTGGGGTACCCTTCGGGGCATACTCAGCGATGTTGCAGGCGACATTGGCGTATTGGAAGACCCCGCCAGACTTTTGCACGAGTTTTTCGACCACGTCATCAGTTGGCCATGCGCTCAACCTAAACTTCTCCTCAAGTGCTTGACGTGGTTCCGCTTTCCTGCAGTGCTTTTCGCGGATCGCTACTAAACGATGCTTGTAGTAGTTGCGAATATCTCTATCGGTTTCGTCTGACAAGACATCGCGAGCTGACGAAAGGTCTCGTTTCTCCAGCGCCGGTTTGAGCATATCCAGCTCATCCTCAATATCCAGTCTGCTAGTAATGAGAGCACGGAACCGTAAGCTGGGAACCTTATGCAGCTTGGATAGTATGGCAACGACTTGGCCTAGAACTTCTCGTTCGCATTCGTCCAGTCCGTCAATTATCAGAAATACGGCCGGTGCAGTGAAGGCCCCTTCATTAATCTTTTTCAAGCTCCTGAAGGGGCTCTTGAATAAGAGACGTCCACTGCTCATCGGCATTTTGTGTGAAAATATCACGGTCATTTCGTATGGCTTTGCAAATATAATTCTTCAGTAAAAGAGAGGAATTCGCCAGTTGCATGGCGAGTGTTGGAACCAAACGATCGGTATCTCTGCGGTTGGCCTCGTTGCGAGAGAAGAAGAAGCTGGCGACGATGTGGCCCTGCCAATTTGCTGAATGCTCTCCGATAGTGGCGGCAATGGTGGACTTGCCTGTTCCGGCCATTCCTGTCACCCAAAAGATTTGTTTGACCGGATTGTCGCTCGCACTCCAAATTGAAATATCTGTCAAAATTGAGCTCCGCGTTCCAGCAAGACATCGTCGCTTGTCCGCCTTGTAGCTTGCTTTCTCAACACGACGACTGTCCAGGACTGTGTTCAGTAACCCTTCGTCTGCGAGCTCTAACATGAGTTTTCTGATGGCCTGTCGTACGATCTGTCAGCCTTTACCACAACCATATGACAGTCAGAAGGCAGTCAGCCTGGTATGATTCTGACCTGTGAGATCTTGCGCTGCTCCTCGAAGCGTGTAAGAACCTCATTTCGAAACTCTGCAATGTCTCTCGCATTTTGTACAAGATATCTCAAACTTTCCTGGGTCATCATGCCTTCACATATCATTGTTTGAGCCTTGATGTCCTTTAGAGCATCGCTCCAGTGAGTCGGATCGAACATGTTACTCCATAATTGACCGACCGTACGCCGAGTAAGATGTCTCAACGCCTCGGCTTGGAATACCAAGATACGGCTATAGAGCTCGACAACGCCATTCCTGAGAGTTGAGCCTGCATTCTTAATTTGGGGCAATTGCTCAATTGCAAGGTAGCGGTGGATAATGTTGGTGATAGCATGGAAGGCATCGAGTAGTTCGTGCTGACCTTGGATGGGATTTTTGATGAGCTGTTGGGTCTACTCAGTATGTGTACCAACAAAGTCGATTTTAGAGCTGAAGCTTTCTGTAGCTCACTTTCTTGACTTACTTGAATTCCGAAGCACACTCCCGACCAGACTAAAGAAGCAGTCGGATTTGCGGTCAATGCTGCGCCAACAAAATCCTTCACCATTACCATCACTTCGATGACCTTCTCAACGGCGTCCACGACATCTAATTTCCCATTTGTCAAAGGCATTGGCCATTTTAAATCCTCCACTGCTTTGACCTTTGCGGGTAGACTGGATGCTAGGGCTTCATTCAGAGCTCTGAATTTGTCTTTACTATGGGCCTTTGATTTGGCTGTTTCCTCAGATAAAGGCTGCCGAGCAAGAAGTTGCCCAAGTTCATCTAGAAATTCACCACGATCATCGCTGTAGCAGGAAACGTAGGCTTCATACCACAGATCAATTTCGGCTGACGTTGAGGGACGGCTGTGGGAGGCACAGTCTACGGGGGCGCGACTGGCTACCGCGATTTTTTGCATGCCCGGCTTTTGGGCGGGCGGAGGGGTAACGTGCAGATTCTATTCGCAGGATCAGTCAGTGACTCTCAATGCTCAGACAGAGAGCTCTAGGCCTTGGTGCTTTCCACTGACCGTGGTGACCGCATCTTGTTGCGTTGACAGCCGTGCTGGCCGGGGCTGTAGTTCAAAATCCCCTTTTGGCTGTCCGCTGCTGCAACACAGGAACGTCATGATGCGGATAACGCTGTCTTCAGAACGCGTCGAAAGGACTGTCCAACGTCCAAATTCTACCAAAGAGATATGATGCGTTTTATGTTTGAGATAAGGCTCACTGGGCATGCGCGTGACGAGATGTTCTTGGCTGCAGCAGCTGAGCGACAATTGTGCTGAAGGACCCACAATCATGCAGCAAGCACTCCTTAGGTACCTACGAGAGAAAATGGCTGCCTCCTGGCCAAGACCTTTTTTCGTGCGGATTGGTGTTGTATCCTGTGACTAAAGACTGAAGCCGTATTTATTACTACCGAAACGGATGCTTGAGAACTTTCAACGTTGGGGAACGGTGCCTTTACTTATTCAGCTTCTAATTTGACAATATTACTCCCGCGATAGGTATCTACGCTAGCTGCACATCCTCAAATGTAAAGGGTATCTTCCAGTATCTCAAATCATCAAACTCAGCCTCGGAGATGTACTCCCTCGTATTTAACGTCAAAGCCCAGTCGACATCAGGCCGACTTGACGCAAAAGACCTCGCGCCAACAACGGTTCCATCGCGTTCAGAATAGACCGCCCGGCCACCAGTTCCCGCCACAGCATGGGAGCCAATAAACCTCGCAACGGTACTTGCGCTGGCCGCCAAAGAGAATCCTCCCATACACTCCTCCTTAATCGCGCCATCGCCTCCATACGGTCCCGGGACAAGTCGGTACGCATCGGGATCCACGGGGTCGTAGCCCGTGTACTTGCTCTCCTGGACGATGCGGTCGTTGACGTGCTTCTCCCCGTCCGTTTCGTAGAGCCTGACGTCGAGGTCGCCGAGAATGTTCTGCTTAAGGAAGTCGAGATACGGAACGCCGGTGACGTTGCTCACGACGTAGCTCGCCAGCATGGTGCCGTAGTTCGAGTAGGAGTAGTCCGTCCCCGGCGCGAAGTCGAGCGTGCGCGTGAGCTGGTACTCAATTACGTCGCGCAGCGTCGCGGCGCGGGTGCCGTTGAAGAGCGCAAAGGCGATGTCGCGGAACATGAAGCCCGGGTCGCCCGACTTGTCACGGTTATAGCCAGAGGTGTGCGCGAGGAGGTGGTCGATGGTGATCTCGTTCGCCCGCTCGTCAATCGGCTTGTATCCGAGCAAGGGGTAAACGGGGGTGGAGCAGTTCAGCTTCCCGGATTCGATGAGGTTGTAGACGGCCGCGTGGACGAAGATCTTGCTGACGCTGGCGAGCAGGAAGATGTCATCTGGCTGCACGACGGCGCGGTTGCTCTCGGCCCAGGTGTAGCTGCGCTCAGCGATGGCAGTGCCGTTCAGCGCAATGGCAATCTGGGCTTGCCGGACGCCGTTCTTCGTCATCCAGGTCTGCATGGTTGAGTCAAAGGCTGCCATTGCAACGTCGTTGTCTTTGAACCCGGTGAACGATCCGGTGGCGGACCACTTTCGGGCCTCGGGGATGTCCTGCTCGGCAAAGATGACTGAGAAGCGGACGTCTGCTCCCGAGACGCCGCCGTGGAGGTCGATTGGGTACAAGCCCTGCGCCTTCTGCGACTCGATCTCGGCGGCCAGCTCAGCGCCGGTGAGGCCATCCAAAGCTACCCACTTGCCAACCGCAGTATCGACGAACTGGGGCGTGATGACATGGTCGTCGGACAAGAAGAGACGAGAGGGGCGCCAGAAGCGTTTGGCAAGCTCGGAGGAGTAGATGTCCGCGTAGTTGATGGAGTAGTTCGTGGTGTAGAAGATCGTGGAGAGCTGATTGCCGACATTCTCGTGGCCTAGGATGCAGTACCTGCGATCTCCGGGGGTACCGTACATCCGGAAGTCTTTTACCAACATCGGGGTGCCGTTCGTGGCGTTGTCGTATGCGTAGGGACTCTTCATGCCGCACAGCTGTGCCCAGTTGGTGACGTTGGCCTTCTCCATGACGCCCGCGAAGACGGCGCTGCCGGCCGGTCCTGTGGCGGAGACATGCGTCGAGACGTATCCCTTGGCCTTCCACGAGTCGAACCACGAGTTGTAGGCTGATTCGTCTGCGTCGTAAATCACTTCAAAAGGGTTTCCGTCTCGTTTGACCCAGACGGCGGCGTAGTTTGCGTTCGGTGCGGTGCCGTATGCGCTCAGGGAGATCATCCGGTAGCCGTCTGCGGTTAAAGACTTCGATCTCTCGCCATGGGCCGCGCCATTGAGGTTGAAGTATGTCTGGACACCGGCGGAGCTGTCGTTGGCGACCCGGCGCTCAGTCGGAAATGCGAACGTGACGGAGCATATTGAAAGACAAGAGGTCAAGAGACCCATGAACGAGGGCGTGTACATGTTCAACGATCGAAAGCTGCCCAAAGGCGAGCGAGGAGGGTGGTGTTGACGAAGAGGGAGCAACAACGCTGCTGACTTCCACCAGCTGCAACCTCGAATGTGTCTCTTCCATGTTTTTATTCAGCATCAAGTGCTCTTGATAGAAATCCACACCATCCCTATTCTTAGAGTGACAATTTAGGTTGTGGTGATCATCTTGCGATACGAGATGAACCCCGTCCATGCCCCCACAACTTGGCGCTCGGCGAACCGCGCCCAAACCCTGGCCCCCCGGTTTAAGCACCCTGCAAGAACCGGCTGAGCCCGCTGTTTGAAGGAATCTTCGCCTTTTGGCAGGGGATGGGATCTCTGGAAGCATGTTTTTTTTACCTTATGGGCCCTCGGCTCGATCCTTCCATCCCCCGTATTCCAAGGCCGTGGGTACAACACGGTATGGCCGGTTCTTTGGTAACGCCACTTGTGTGGATTTGTCCTTGGCTGGAATCGCCGTTAGAGCCGAGGGAAGATGCAACCTTAGGCTTGAATACGAGTATAAACCAGCTTCCCCTGTAAAGGTTAGTTCGTCTCGTGGACTAAACTCAACGTCGCCGTTTCACGGCCACGTGCGTAATGCGCCGTTGATATATGCCCCTCGGCAAACATCTTAGGCTCCCGATCTGAACGAGTTTAGGTTTCGTGGTGTATGTAAATCAGACACACTTCTTTTCTCAGCCAAGATCCTCAGAAAGTCTCGGGACAAAAGGCAAGGTGATCCCACTCACAGGGATCAAAAATGAGGTCCATCCAGGATTCGAACCTGGGCTTACGGAAGGGAACCGATGGTTGTCATCATCAGAATCCGACGTCCTAACCAACTAGACTAATAGACCAACTGAGCCGAAGCTGCTGTGCTGTGGAGGCCGGTCGGGGACAAGCAGAATATGACGTCGCGAATTCGCGTGTGTGAGAATTTGCGCGAGCCCTGGGTGGGTATCGCGGGCGGGGATCGTGACGGAGCCGGGGTGCCGGATCGGAGGCCGGCGGATGGGGCAGAGGGGATATCCCGGTCAACTTCCGACGACGGACTTGTTGTGGCTTGATTGCAGTTCGGCGAGTCTGGAGCGGTGCGTCTGTAGCTTGACAGGAATTGGGTTGAACTTGATGTTATCTTGAATAGGTCACATCTCAGAAGCGAACCGATTCAGTTCGTGGTCTTCGATAATAATTGATGGGCACTACAAGTTTGAATAATGTTGAAGCCGGCCTCTGGCCATGTCCATGTCATATCTACAGTATATCTCATATATACAATCCCAAACCACATACAGCATGTACAATCAACACCCTATCCACACCTCAACTCCAAACTCCCCTATCCCCAGTTCCCCAACCTAGCACCCGCTAGTCTTCACACCCTCCGCAACGCAAACCTTCCCATCAGGCCCCTTGCCCGTCAACTTCGGCTCCGCGCCGTTGCTATTCCCCTCAAACATCTCGCACACCTCCGCGCCGCCCAGCACGCACGAGTTCTTAATGTCCACCCCGTCGCCCAGGTTGCCGTTGACCGCCGCCAGCACCTTGCCGCCGTCGAGCCGCACGTTCTCGAAGGTCGCGTGCCGCGCCGTCTGCGCCTTGCAGTTGCCGCAGCTGCGGTACATCTTGCTGCAGCCCTTGCAGTAAAAGTCCTTGACCGCGACCGTGCCCCCGCCGTTGTGCTGCAGCACCTTGTCATCGGCGTTCTGCGCGCCGCCGCCGTTGACGAAGGAGGTGCCCGAGGTCTGCTTGAATGTGATTGCGTCTTCGCAGACGTCTTGGAACCAGCTGGTTGGTGTTAGCTCGAGAAGATATCGCAGGGCTGGGTTGCTGGACTTACACGTTGTTGATGGTGCAGCTGCCCAGGCAATGTATGCCCTCGCCATTATTAGGCCCAATCACAACATTGCTAATCGTAGCCCCCTCCTCGAGAATGAACACGGCATCCTTGTTGCCGCCCTCCGTCTGCCCCTTGCACGTGCTCGGGCTCCGGTCCCAGAGCTGCATCCCGCCGTCGAAAGACTGGCCTGCCGCAATAGTCTTGACAGCGGCGAGATTCTGCGAGCCCTTGGGGGTGGGAAACGTAGTCTTCAAGCCACCACCGCCTGATGTCGTCCCGTTGTTCGAGCCCCCGGACCCAGACCCAGACCCAGCAGAGCCCGTTGAGATGGGCACATGGGGCGCGGTCTTGGACGCCGTGTGCTTTGCCTTCTTGCTCCCCTTGGGACTGCCGCTCTTGGAAGCCGGGGACGCGAGGGCAGTCGCGGCGAGGGCCAAGAGGAGGATGTTTCGGAGAGACATTGTGGAGGGGTCGTAGATGGAGTGGGAGATGCGTCTAGCGTCTTGGCTGCGAGGTTGAGATGAAATGAAGAAAGGCTTGGCCGCGCAAGCTATGTGGACAACGTGGAGAAGCAAATGCGGGATAAGACGAATAATAGGCCAGCTGTTAGGTTTGAGACGAACCAGCCGTGTTGAAGGTGTTGAGGCGAATAGTTGTTAAAGATCTTTTGAACTCTTAGAAGCTGATGATTTTAAGATTCTAATTCCCAAAGCTCGAGAGAACTCTATTCTGTTTATATACCAAAATTCCCATTTCACAATTGCCCTCGCGAACCCCTATACCACCATCCTCATAAGACAAACTCAATCGCATCTTGGCTTCGAAAAAGAGACCTCCAAGCCAGCCCGGGGCCCGAGCTCTCCAGCATCCTGCCCCCATTCTCCATCAAACATGCTCCTTCACAGAGATATATCAAAAGTCCCCAGTGTAATATCTATCCCAGGGCGACGGCGCGCTTCACGTTGAATGAGGTACGTGCGTTCCCAAAGATCGTCCGAAACTTTGTCGTCAACTAAGCTTTTTCTGACAGATCCATCCAGCCTGGGATAGAGTGACCTGTTGGCAAAAGACCACCAATCCACTGTGTTGCTGTTCCCCTGTCAAACATGGGCCATCGATGTTGGCGCTAACCTGTGCCATCTGATGTCGGTCATGCGGCGGGGGTCTGCCCTGTGCAGAGCCGCATAAGTAGGCAACCGTTCATCTACTTCTGGTAGGGCCCTGACACGGGCTTTCATATGCTTCAAACGGCCCTCCTTGTGGGGGTTTGGCTCTTATGCATGCTGTAGTTCGGTTGAGATGCCGAATATCGTCCCTCGTAGCTGGAATGGAGATAAAGGAGACTTCCTGATACCGTATCTATGGCCCCAGCATTGACCAAGCCGAGTTCTCGGAAAAGTAAATGACACAAGCAGCCTTCTGCCATCTCTGCGTGAAACAACCAGACGGAGCGACTTGTGGCATGACCCGAGCACCTCGGAGCAACACCGGATTAACAATTTCAGACTTGATTGAAAAGTATCTACTTGAAATCAGCGCCGAATTATTCCGTTTTTCCAGACGCTTGTATTAACACAGCACCCCAAGTTCTTCGGGGATGGTGCGGCGAGACATCAATCACCTCCACTGCTGTTGCGGCGGCCTCTGCTGCCTGTGTTGTTGTTCCGCTTTCAGCTGCCTCTCAAACCTCTTTCCGTCCGCCCGGGCGTCCTTCTCTCCGTTCCCTTTCCCATTTCCTACTCTTTTAAGTTCTTCCTCTACCATGCCCACTGCTTCAGCAACAACATCATCGCCTCTCCGCCACGTGTACAAGGCGACTCCGTGCTGCTCCAATACTTCCTGCGCACGCTGCAGACGGCGCATCCATAACTCGTGCTTCCTGTTGGGGTATGTTGGTCCCATCGTTGGAGACCCCAACGTTGGAGATGTGCCTCCCGACTTGAGGCTGTTCGACTTGGTCTTTGCGAATGCTGGCGGCTGAGAACCGGCAGACGGTGGGAGGGCTTCAAAGTCGATGTCATCGTTGTTTGACAGTCTCTGCCGATTGAGGGTCCGCGGGCTGAGGCTCCGGGCCCCGGACGGGGTTTCCCTGCGGCGCGGAGGTGGGGGCGGTGGTGGGACTTTGAATGCTTTGCTCATGTCCTCTGGGGTAGTCGACGCTGGTATCTTTGCTGTTTTGGGTAAGCTGCTGGTGCTCCCAACCGTCTGTTGCGATGCGTTGTGTATTTGTGACAGCGGATGAGGGGCGGATCGGTCAGCGGATGGCTTTCTCGACCGCGGCGCAGGCGGAGGTGGAGCAGAACCGCCATTAGACCCCAGAGTAGGCACCTTCGTGTCTGAAGGAGCACTGCGAAGGGCTGCTGGCTTGACTGGACGAGGTGGTGGAGGTTTACGGATAGCGAGATCCGACGTGCTCGCACTTGAGGTAGGTTTTGGCCTTGCCTTGAGTTGAGCAAGTGCAGCCGCGTCGTCCAGATTCGCCTGTTCCGGCTCGTCAGAGAAGTCAATCAGATCGCCCATGACCGGTCCAACTGTCTTGATCTCGCCGCGTGGTGGCAGACCAGGCCTGTTTGCCGGCTCGTCGCTCTTGGCTTGAAGTCTGATTGCTGGGGCCTTCTGGCGAGCAGGGCCTTCGAACGATGAATCAAAGTAGCCGCTCTGCTCAGGTGTCGTAACATCACGGATGAACACTGCAATAATTCGTCCTGGATGGGTTTCGACCAGCTCAGTGTAGACTTCCAGATCAGCCTCGCCGCTGTCACCCACCAACAGGAACTTCCGCTCGGGGAAGTCCTTCATCAGCCGTGTAAGTGTGCTCTTCTTCCTTTCGGCCACCGGCTCGAAGATGCCCTGGAGCATACCGCTGTACTGTTTGAGGTGGAGAGATCCGGGAGGCAAACCGGCAATCATAAAGTAGCTTGCCAAAACTGGGAATAACTGCCATGGGCTGTTGGAGCAGTAGTGTATGCTGACGCCCATCGCGTGCAGCTCGTTGTACCACTCCTTGACGCCCTCGACCGTCAAGTCCTTCAGCTCGCGGATGAACGTATTGCGGAAGATCTCCTTCGCGCCGCCAGAGATATTGGACCTCTTGATGGTGTCGTCGATATCGCTAATCAGACTAACCCCCCTTGGTTCAATGATCTTGACTTCTTGAACTGCCGACAGGCTTTGGTTGGCTAGGACTCGGACATGAGTCGGAACGAAATCCAAGGCGGCTCGTATGACAAAGTGGCCGGCATCATTGGTCTGCACCGTCCGCGAAGCCGACTTCTCATCGTTGTAGAAGAATATGGTGATGGGAAGCTGGATCAGGGGTGTCGTCATAAATGGCGCTATCCTAGCCATGAGGTTCGCGTTTGCGACGGAAAGTTCAGCTTCCGAAAGCTCGTTGCCGTTCGTGTACTGCCTAGCTGGCATCTTGGGCGATCCCGGGGCTGTCATGGGCGTCCGGGTGCCACTACGAGATCTTGACCTCGCGGGATATATGCTACCGGCATCGTCGTCGTCCTCCTCTCGGGCCGCTTCACTGAAGCCACCGCGATTTGCCACGCGCCTCTCCTCCTGGCCCCTTTTCTCAATCTCTGCCGCCTCTTTCGCAATCTTCTCCTGCTCCCTCCTCTCTTCGTGGGACTGGTGAAGCGCCCCTAACGAATCTGAGGCAGGGGCATCCTGCCTGGGTGCAGGGATGCCGCTCAACTGGCGCGCGAGCCCGATGAGAATCCGGTTGCGTCTAGTCATGGGCCCTTTGTGCGGCGAGTAAACCCATCCTCTGACGTCGATATCCACGATTGCCCTCTCGTCTTCGTTACGCTCCCACTCTTGCCTCCAGTACTCTGAATCTCTAATGGCCCCGTGTGGTTCGTTTGAGATGTACTCGTTATCGTCGCCCCAATCTTGCTTAGTGTGTCGCTTCGCATATGACGGAAAGATGACCATCTGGTCGTCGCCTTGCACCGTAATGGCAACATCCGGGAATGATCCGGGTATCGTCGTCCTCGGCATGCCGTCGTCTGCTTCAAGCGACCGCACCCGCGTCTGCGCATATCCTTCTCTTATCTCGTTCATCGCAACTGCACCGGCGCGGTACATGCTGCCTGCCTTTGCAGCCAGCCATTTCCGACGGAAACCTCGCTCGCCTTGTGCAGGCTCGCCCTCTGGCGCCGCGCCATATCCGTAGCCGTTCCCGTCCCCATTGCGGCTGGAGTTGGCCGCAGCTCCTCCTCCTCCGTTGCCTGTGTAGTCTGACCAAGTGGGCATCTTTTTGCCTGGACGTCCTGCTCTCGCATGCCTCGCCGGCCTCGCTGGGGGTGGGCCCAAGAGCAGCCGGCGACTTTGCCGCCGGAAAACGTCGACGAGCCTCGACTTCTCGTTCCGCTTGCGCTGGCGCTCAAGAATCAACCGGTAAATGCGGGACTGGAAGCGATGCTTGAGCTGCGGAAGCGTGTCGAGCCGGAAGTTGAGCACGCGCTCGCGATATCGATCTCGGACGGTTCGCGGGAAGAGGTATCGTAGTAGACTGAGTCGATTATGAGGATGCGGATGCGGGGGTCCAAATCGCCTGAAGGGCCTGAAGGGAGCCAGCTTGATCGTTGTAGGTGCCTTGGACAAGATTCCAAGACGGGCGCGATGGGGTGCGGGACGGCCCTGGTTTTGTTCGTAATGCAGGAAGGGTCCCTCCGCGTCGTCTGTTCTCCGGAGGCGGCAGGTCGTGGGTTCAGCGACGTCGATTACTCTCGTCCGAGGCTCAACGAGGCAGACCTGAGGTGCACGAGGCTGCGCAGGCGACAGCGTCTTCTGACCCCCACGCTCTACAGCTGATGAAGAAGCGGCAGAGAATGATGGAAGCACATGATCTGGGCGACGGGTTTGGGAGGCGGAATCGGCGGTCGAGGAGTTGAGGCAGAGTAGCGGGAGCACGCGGGTAGGGAGGGATGAGCTAGGAGCTCGTGACGACGGGCGGGCGAAGCTTTAGGTTGTCTCTGGTCTCAGAAGCTGCCGGTGCCGGGTGCGGGGTGTCTCGATTTCCAGATGCGACGAAGTGCCAGAAATGCATGGAATATTATGCAGGCGGCGTAAGACAGCGGCGCCTCCTCCTCAGCGAGCAGCAGCTTATTGCCCGCTGAATGAGGTCCACGTCCAAGCGAAACGAGTTGTTACGTCATCTTTTGAGCTTGCCGAGCTCCCGCTGAAGCTTCCAATGCGCAACGTGAGGTGCCCTGTGCTGCGATCGTCTTCAGCGCTGGTTCTGGACGAGGCCCACTGAAAAAAGGACGCTGCAAATGTAACGTGCCCGGGCCAGACCAGAGTCCATCAACTGACGCTCCGGCGCTGGACACGTGAGGGCCTGTCAACCTCGCTCGATGTAACTGAACTGTCGCATTTCGGTCCTTTTGCTGGCGCATTTCCCCATGATCCATGATGGACGAAACTCCGTGCCAAGAAAGAATCAGATGGTATTTCAACATGGTATTTTGGTCTAAACTTTTCCCTCCAGTTATGCCCACCGACGCCTACCTCTTTCCACGGGCCATCTTCGCCCTCATTCTGCCGTTCTTGGGGGCCTTCTTCTTCTTGAGGTTCAGCACGGCGCCTTGTCCAGCACGCTCCGCCTTGCCCTTCTTCCATACGTGGCCCTCGCTCCTCGTGGCCTTGGCGTCGAGCTGCTTTCTAGCCTTGTTGCTCATCTTCACCTTCTTCTTGCCCGGGCCGCCCTCGCCGTTGAGCTCGGCCCGGCCCGCGTCCTTGGCCTTCTTCTTGTCCTGCTCCGTCTCGAACCATGTCCTCTTCGGCCTGGACTTGATCTCGGCCTCATGCTCGAGGATGTTCTCTCCCTTCCTGACCTGCATCTCGGCCTGTGCGAACTGCTTCTCTTGCTTCTCCTCGACGATGATCTCCTCAATCTCATCTTCCATCTCGTCGACCTGGGCCTGCCACTTGTCTGCTTCCGCAGGCTCGATGACACGGCTCATGATCTTGGCCCCCTGGGACTTGCCCGCCTTGACCGCGGCCTTGACGACCTTACGGTCCGGCTCGGCAGCCAGGGTGACGGCGACACCGCTTCGGCCGGCACGCGCAGTACGACCGACTCTGTGCACGTAAATCTCCAGCTTCTGGGGCGCCTCGTAGTTGATGACGGTGTCAACGCCCTTGATGTCGAGACCACGAGACGCAAGATCGGTGGCCAAGAGGTAGTTAACCTTGCCGTCACGGAAGTTCTCTACACTGGCAATTCTCTGCAAGGTTGTTAGTGACATTCTCATCGGTTTATAAGAGAGGTGCTCACCTGAGCCTGGTTCATGCTACCGTGGAGCTCGGCGCAAGACATGTCCAGCATACCAAAGATGATTCTTGCCCTGTGAGCCTCCTTCTTTTGGCGGAAGAAGATGATGACCCTCTCGGTGTGCATCGTCTTGCAGATGTGAATCAAGTAGCCCATACGCTTCTCCTCGCGGCCGGGACGCAGGCGGATGAACTCTTGCACCAGGGTGCCGACTGTCTTCTTTTGGGAATCCACCATGACCCTGGCAGGCTTGTTCATGCCAACGCGGACCAGGCGGTCGACGGACGATGTCATGGTGGCAGAGAACAACATGGTCTGTCTTGACTTGGGAAGTGTGGTGAGAATCTCGTTCAGTTCGTCGGCGAAACCGTCTTCGAGCATACGATCGGCCTCATCAAGCACCAGAATCTCTACAGTGTCGACGTTGAAGCTGGCAGAGTTTCTCATGTGATCGATGAAACGACCGGGAGTGGCAATAATGACATCCGGCCGTAATCTGAGCTCGACCTCTTGCTGCTTCAGACTGAGACCACCAACAGCCAGGGTGAACTTGATATCCGTGTAGGCTGCCAGCTTGGTAGCGACGGCGTGGCACTGGATAGCCAACTCACGGGTAGGGGTGAGGATGACGACACGGCTGGTGGGCACCTTCTTGGGCCTGTAGAGGAGACGCTCGAGAATGGGCACAACGAAGGCGGCCGTCTTTCCGGAACCAGTGACTGCACCACCGACGACGTCCTTGCCCATCAAAGCGATAGGCACGGTCTTGGCCTGAATGGGAGTGGGCTTTGAGAAGCCAACGGCGGCAAGACCTCTGAGCAGGGGACGCGACAGAGACATGCCCTGGAATGATGAAGCGATATCCTTTTTGCCGGGCTGCGCGGGCTCCTCTGGCGCGAAGAAGGCATCGCGCTTGGCTTGTTCCTCTGCATCCTCCTCTTCGTCGTCTGAATCGTCGCGAGCGTCGTCGGGGTGGTCTACTGGTGTCGCAACGGAGTCGTTGTCTGATGCAGCGGCGTCCTCGTCTTCTGCGTCTTCTGCGTCGGGAATCTCCTCGTCGGCCGATTCTTCATTCTCAGAGTCAACACCCATACCGAAGGCGTCGTCGGCAAGCACTCCGTCTTCATCGTCGTCGAGGTCGATATCCATGTCGTTCTCTGCCTCCTCGTCGTCGTCACCAGCCTCCTCCTGTACGGCGACTTCGGGCTCCTCCTCGTCGGTCTTCTTCGCGCGCCTCCTGCGGATGATCTCATCCAAATCGACGCCAACCGGGTCCTGGTTCTTCATGGACTTCTTTGCGCCGTCGAAGCCCCAGCCCTCGAACTCGTCGTCGCCGAGTTCGACAGCGCCGTCTTGGGCAAACTCGAAGTCGGAGTCCATGGCACCGTCGTCGTCTTCATTCTTGCCCCAGATGCCTTCGCGCTCTTCCTCCTCCTCTTCCTCGCCCTTCTTAGACTTCTTTGACTTCTTGGCGGTCTTCACCTTCTTCTTCGGGGGCGGCGCGATAGCCTCTTCTTCCTCGACAATGTCCTCGTCATTGTCGGAGATTGTGTGGACAAAGTCGTCGTCGATAGGCTTGCGTTTCTGAGAGGAAGCCATGTTGGGCGGTTGAGAATTGTTGAAAAGCGAACGAACAGTCCCGCGGGGTATCGTCTGCTCCAACACGCTTTCCCAATTCCCCAGCTCGATCGTCAGCGCCAGAATTTTTTCTGAACGGACGGTGGAGCTTGAACCTTTCTGCCGCCAACGGGACCCACCTTGACTACCTAAGGTAGGCGGTCAGACGACTCGGTCCCATCCGCCGCGCTGGTCAGTGCGTTACGTGATCGGAGTGGGCACGTGACGGTGTTTGTCATCAGCAGAGAAGGGCCAGGCCGCCAGCCAGTCATTGCCTGTGTTTAGGGGGGACGTGGAAGGTAGGGGCAACTCCCGAGTAATTGCCCCCACCACGGTTGATTGGGCGACCACTTATTGCCAACAATTTTGGCAGCCTTCAAGCCGCCGGCGACAAAGCAACGAGATTTAATCTCTGCCACTTCGACACTTGCCTGTCTTGTCCTAAGCCCAACTTCGGTGCTCTAACCACCCACGTCTCCTTTCTCTACGCCTCATCGCGTCTCTGCTTCTCGAGCGTCCTTTCGATTCCCGGTTTTTTGCGCGCGCGTTCTTCATCCCAACACACGAAAAATCCCAGAGATCAAACACATACGGTCAAGATGGGCGAATCCAGGTTCGTATCTTTCCACGGCCTTCCATCCCGCGGCGCCCACCACCACCACACGACGGACTCGGCGCGTCGCCGCCTCGACATCGAGCTCTCCCAGCTAACAGAAAAGACTATCCAGACAGGAACTCATCCAGTGGTTGAACCAGCTGCTGTCCCTCAACATCACAAAGGTCGAGCAATGCGGTACGGGGTAAGTGCAGCCCGATACCCCTCCCCCGCCACATAGCGATTTGTGGGACCTGGTGATTTTCGTGATGGTGTTGCTAACGCCGGTTTGACTGCAGCGCGGCGCTATGCCAGGTGTTTGACAGCATCTTCATGGACATTCCCATGTCCAGGGTCAAGTTCAACGTCAACAGCGAGTATGCATACATACAGAACTTCAAGGTGTTGCAAAGTGAGTCCAGCCCTCGAACCTACCTTGCATTTGGTGCCCAGCGAACCCGACGCTGACAATTGCTCTCTGCAGACACCTTTGCCAGACATCAGATCGACAAGCCCATCCCCGTCGAAGCCCTCGTCAAGTGCAAGATGCAGGACAACCTCGAGTTCCTTCAATGGACCAAGAGATTTTGGGACCTGAACTTCCCCGACCACGACTACGATGCCGTCGCCCGCCGAAAGGGCGCTCCCGTGTCCGGCGGTGGCGGTGCCGCCCCCCGCGCCGCTCCTGCTGCCGGTGCTGCCAGACGGGGAGGCACGACCCCCTCGGGCGGTCCCCGCGTGGCCAAGGCGGCCGGCCCCGGCACCGCCGCCCTGCAGCAGGAGAACGCCACCCTCAAGGAGACTGTCGTCGGCCTGGAGCGTGAGCGTGACTTCTACTTCAGCAAGCTCCGCGACATTGAGCTTCTCGTGCAGCAAGCCGTCGAGGAGGACCCCGAGCTGGAAAAGCAGGAGGACGGTCTCGTCAAGCAGATCCAAACGATTTTGTACTCGACAGAGGAGGGCTTCGAGATCCCCGCCGAGGGCGAGGCTGCCGACGATCAGGAGACCTTTTAGGCGGGTGGTGCCATGGACCAAGGTGTGAGGAGGGCGCGGGCATACCCAAGACTATTGGATGGGCATGCAGATTGGGGTTTAAGCAAAAGCACATGGGTTTGGCTGTAGTACAAATACCCTGAGGCACGTAATAATCGTATACTGGCGATGAGGCTGAGCAGCACTCGGACGGCGTTGGCAGCCTGGAATAGGGTCGGCCGGCTGGTCAGAGCTTGCGGCGCTCTTGTCCCAGCATGAGCAGTCATGATAGAATCAAAACTTTTTGGTCTGGGAACCCCGAGTCATTTATGTGGGTGTGGTGTGAGTGAGAGCGAGGCACGTCTGGTCCCGGACCACGCGTCCGAGACGGCTCAGACGATTCGTATGGGGTATTTTGGTTCGGCACAGTAGTCTGTCTGGGCTGAGAGTGATCCTCCCAAGTTTCAATCTACTAGTCGTCGGAGAGGTGAAGCTTATGCATGAACATGACTACTGCATTTCGGATGAATATTCTGGAAGGCTTTTTCTCGCGCTGTCACTCACTCAGTTCAGTCGATCTAGTGTGGAAATGCGGATAATGGCAGCTGTCATGGCAGAGAGAACGGTGTGCCCGCGGTGAGCAGACACAGCGTCGTATCCATCTCAGTCGGGATCTTCAGGCAGTGACAATCACTCGGGCTTCGGTGTCTCTCTTTGGCCCTCGTCATGAGCCCAGGCCCTTCCTGATGAGGTGTCCCAGATATGCGGTCATTCCTGCGGCAGGCGCCAGTTTAGTGGTTCCATGCAGGCGCCACAGGCGTCAAACAGCGCACACGACCACCAGCCTCCCCCTCAGGCTGCTATCTTTCAGACCCAGGCACGCCCAGGAACCCAGGAACCCAGGAACCCAGGAACCTGCCACTCAACAGTGGGCCGTCGTCGTTTTTTAAGGAACCGACCACCTGCGTCTCGCGCCTGGCTGCAGCACACCTCGCTGGAGCATTGCATACGCTACGCTGCTCACCGGACTGGACTGTGAACCTTGATTGCATTCCCCGGGACCTGACGCAAGCAACGAACCAAATCCGTCCTTCAACAACATTGATTTTTACCAGCACGACGACACGCTCGACAACGTTTACGATTGTGTTTCATTTGCGAATTATCCACATCATCCCTTCGACGACGCCATTGCGACTGCCAGCAAGCAGCAACCACCCACTCCCACCGACTAAGCCACTTACACTCCCACCCGACGAAGCGAGCGAGCGAACCATCACCGCAAGCCAGCCCAGCTCAGCTCATCCGAGCCCAAGCTCATCCAAACCCGACCAGCATCCCATCATCTCCAATCGTCGAAAGAACCAAAGAAAAAAACCTTCCCATCCGTTCACAACAACCGCCGTCACAATGGCTCCCCCGGCCGAGATCTCCATCCCCTCGACCATCCTCTCGACCGGCGAAGCGAAGCCCTACACCCTCTACAACATCACCCTCCGCCTGCCCTTGCGCTCCTTCGTCGTCCAGAAGCGATACTCCGACTTCGCCACCCTCCACCAGTCCCTCGCCGAACAGGTCGGCGCCCCGCCCCCGAAGCCGCTGCCCGGCAAGTCCTGGTTCAAGTCCACCGTCTCCTCCCCGGACCTGACGGAGCAGCGCCGCCAGGGCCTCGAGGCCTACCTCCGCGCCATCGCAGAATCCCCCGACCGCCGCTGGCGAGACACCTCCGCCTGGCGCTCCTTCCTCAACCTCCCCAGCACCGGCGGCGGCGGCAGCACGAGCAACTCCGCCGCGAGCGCCCACGGCCTGATCACCAGCGGCCGTGCAGGCGCCGCGGACCCGACGACCTGGCTCGACCTGCACCGCGAGATGAAGAGCAACCTACACGAGGCGCGGCTGAGCCTGTCCCGCAGAGATGCCGCGGCGGAAAACAACAATAGCACTGCGGCGGCGGAGGCCGGCGCCGCGGCGAAGAGGGCGCTCGTCAAGGCCGGCACGCTGATCGGGAACCTCACTGCGGGGCTGCGCACGATGCAGGAGAAGGGCGCTCTCGGCGACGGCGAGCTGCGCAGGCGGCGTGACCTGCTGTCCTCGGCGCGGGTCGATAGGGAGGGCCTGGAGCGGCTGAGCAACAGCATGTCGCAGAACGGCCGGGCCGCCAGGGAAGGGTGGGCCTCGTCGGGGGACAAGGCGGCGCTGCTGGGGGGTGCCAGCGGCAGCAGCAGCGGGGCGCGGACCGGCGGGCGGGTTCTCGGCGCGCCGCTGCCCGAGACGGAGCGCACGCGGGAGCTGGACAACGACGGGGTCGTGCTGCTGCAGCGGCAGATGATGAGCGAGCAGGACGAGCAGGTGAACACGCTCGCGGCGATCGTGCGGCGGCAGAAGGAGATGGGCCTGCAGATCAACGACGAGGTGGAGGCGCAGACCAAGATGCTCGACAGGGTCAACGAGGACGCCGACCGCGTCGGCGGCAAGATCAAGGTCGCCAACCGGCGCATCGGCAAGTTCTGACTGCGGTGCGCCGTCGGGGTCGTCGCGCGGGTCGTCGTCGCGGCGATGGAGGTCGTCGTCTGGCTGCTTTGGGTCGGGGCCGCGGTCTGGGATGCTTTTGCGTGGTGTATGGAGTTGGGCTCTCTTCTTCTCGTTGCAAGGAACGCATGACACGGGGGAAATTTTGTTCTTACTACGGCATTTTAACTTGCAACACAATTAGCGACAGGTTCTAGGTTGTCGCCCATGATCGCCTTCACCAACTCCTGTTTTTGTTTTTTCCTCTTCTTACGCAAAGGCATGACGGAAGCGGGCTGGGAAAGGGGAAACTCAGATTGTGCTACGGCGAGCCCGTTTTGGATGGGTAATGAGAGATGGGAAATTCTGAGATGCGTTTGGATGCGCGTATATAATCACAACGGGAAGAATGAGATTGGACAGTGTGATAGGAATGAATACCAAGGCTGCTTTGGCGTTTACTAGTGGTCCTGGGTGCCTTTGGTGAGGTGATTATGGTAGTGGGACGAAGCTGCTGGTAAGTGCCTGCCTAACGTCTCAAGGCTGAGAGGTGCGATCGAGGTATTAATATCTCTGAAGAGTCCGGCTATTTGACTTGCGATCACCAATACTTGGTCTTGATAGCGCTGAGTGGGCTGAGTGTTGCCATAACGGTGCTACGGCAACACACAGAAGGCGTCGTGTGGTGGATCTTCGGCTGAGCCGGCGGCATACGACATCAGAATAATCAATGTGAGTGCTGGATCCGAATAGTCTCACGATGATAATGACGGACGGCAGCTGAGTGATAGACGATGACTGGTGAACTTTATGAGAGGCTTATCAGGCGAGTAGACCAGCCAAGCAGAGCTTTCTGTACCAAAGTCTCACCGCAGCGATCCGCACCATTGTGGTAGATCCAACCAGCTGAGTTCGTTCACTGGATTTATAGATCATTACTTCCTACTCAGCCTAGAACTGTGGCAGATGGCTTCATCGCGTGCCACGCAGCCGATCTCGACGGAATGAATTGGGTTTCAACCGTAATTGAGTGATTCGGCGACCTTTTATCAATATCTGCTCTTGATCTTGTCTGCGCCTGCATCGTCTGCAACGAGGTTGTGTTTGCCAATGCTTTGCTAATAAACACCATGGGGTCTCATCCCAAGCAATGTTCGAGGTTGCCTTGGTCTAGAGATTAAACCATGACCCTCGTCCACAATACTGCGGTCGCATTTGGTCACATGAAGATGTAAGATGCCCAAGACTGAAGCATCCTTCCATCTGCCACAGTCACTAACAAGCTGATGCTCAGCATCGACCCGGAGCTAATGTGTCAAGTCATCCCAAGACTGCGGGATGCAGGGAGAGCCGCATGACGGGAGTTGTTGACACTGGACGCGACGGAGTGTGGCCGCGGACCGTTCCTCATGCACATGCAGACGGTGCTTATTGGGTTGACCCCTGCCCATGGGGTTGCATGCATGTAGCGCTTGTCACATCGCTCTCTTTTCTTTCAAAATTCATTTCTCGTGGGGAGAAGAAGAAAGTTGAAGCGCCGCCCTAGCCTCGACGCTACGTTTGATCGTAACGATGCCTTGGATGTTGGCAGTGGTGATCATGTCCGAGGACCTGGCAGTTTGTTGACCACCCCGGAATTACTGACGTCTTCTCCGCCGTCGTCACCGCAAAACACCGGTTTTGCCCTCGACCCCGAACGTCGAAAGCGTTGCCGGCCGGCAGGCTCCAGTCGTTCCAGAAACGTTCAAGCGTGGGCGTGAGCAGCGCCCACATGGTTAAATCTGATACGTCACTCAAGCTCGTGGTGCAAGGGACTTCCCGCGGTTGCCGGGCAACGAGACCGTTTGGGTGGGAAGAGCGAGGGACAAAGCTCCACCGTCCGGCTTGCGCACCGCAACGGTTGGCGGTCAAGAAGTGTGAAAGAAGAGTTGAGACAATGTCACAGTTGGCGCCCGACGAGTCCGACGGTAGCGGTTGTGGCCCCCATTGTGACCGTCGCTGTTGCATTCGCAATCGCAATCTTAACCGATCACCCGCAGGATTCGAGGTTCGTCTCGAAGGGACGTCTCAGACATCTGGTAGGGACGGAAGGAAGAGGGCCTCACCCTTTGCAACGGGGCACTGGCGGAGGCCGTGGGTGAAGAGTCCCTCGCCAGCTGGCATATGGCCTTTTCCTCATGAGGCATTGCTGAACAATGCTGGCGCCGACGCCTCCCGGGGAGGATAGCCTCAGACTCCGCGATTCGCTGCCGGGGGTGGATCTCAACCCCAGCGAGGCACCGCTTCAGGACCACAGGCGAGTGTGCCAAGGGCCTCTCATAGGCAGGAGATTGAGCAATTTCTTGGGATTGGGCCGCCGGCCAGAAGTCTGCAGAAGTCTGCTCGAAAGCGAGAGCGGGGAGAGGGGTTCTTTGGCTGCGGTGTTTGCTTGACGATGGGCGGGTGGACATGGCAACGGGGGGAGTTTGTTTTGGCGATCTGTTGGTGGTGAGTGGTTGAGGGTTTCGATATGCTTTGTGGCCTCTTCCAGTTGG